AGACCACCGAATAGGAAAACTCTTGCAGGCGCAAAGCCCAGCGACCAAGGCGGCCTGATGGATCTTTCAGAGAGTTCAAGCCAGCAGAGTGCGTGGTGGTCGGTAACTACCGAAAATGGGCGTCCGTATAGATAAGGTCGAAATTTCGCTACCGCCCATACAAGAGCCAAGCACTCACGCTCTGTTATCGAATAGTTACGTTCAGGGGCGGATAGGAGGCGGCTGGCATATGCAATAACGCAATCATGGCCATGTTGTTTCTGAGCCAGCACTGCACCAATGCCATGCCCACTTGCATCTGTACGGATTTCCGTAGGGGCAGCAGGGTTGAAGTGTGCCAGAATCGGAGGGGTAGTGAGAAGAGCGACGAGAGTCGAGAACGCAGAAGCCTCTTCGGAGCCCCATGAAAACGGGACTTCTTTCTTGAGGAGCTGCGTAAGCGGCCTCGCTATGTGCGCAAAATTTTCACGAAGCGTCGGAAGTAGGAGCATAGTCCGATAAAGCTGCGTACATCCTTCGCAGATCGTGGTACAGGAAAGTTTTTGACGGCGCTGATTTTTGCCGGGTCTGGTTGTACACCGTTGGCGTCTACTAAATGGCCAAGCACTGTGATTTGATGGCGTCCAAAGTGACATTTGGACGAGTTGAGCTGCAGGCCAGCGCGACGGAAGATTCCCAGGATGGCTGAGAGGCGCTCTATGTGAGTTTCAAACGTTGGTGAAAAGACGATGACGTCGTCCAAGTAGCACAACATGTGGACCATTTGAATCCTCTGAGCAGGGAGTCCATCATTCGTTCGAAGGTGGCTGGAGCGTTACAAAGGCCGAAGGGCATGACCTTGAACTGATATAGGCCATCGGGGGTGATGAATGCCGTCTTTTCACGGTCCATTTCATCTACCTCTATCTGCCAGTAGCCGGAACGAAGGTCTATGGAGGAAAAATAGTGGGACCCATAGAGGCAATCAAGCGCATCATCTATTCGTGGCAGAGGGTAGACGTCTTTTTTGGTAATTTTGTTTAGGTGTCGATAATGTATTTACAGACGGTTAGGCGAGCAGCGCCAGCCACACAGATTAGCTCGTGCCAGTCTATCTGCTTCGTCTTCTTCAGCTCCATGCACTGGCACGTAGCAATATTTGCTGCAAAATGCTGTAATTTATTTTAACACTTCTACCTGTCTCAAGTTTAGTCTCCAGAACCTTGGCACTAAATTGCGGAAATTTGAAGCCTTCATAGACAGTCTAGACTAGCACATTTCACAAAGGTTTAAGGTAATGGTGCACATAAGTAACCAGAGCATAAGCTGCTCAAGCAAGGGAAGACTATAAGCACCAAATTACTCAATAATGGAGCACTGACATAAAATTTCAAAGTCAATTGTAGTGAGAGAGATCGATTTATGCGAAGACATACACGTCAATGAAATAGTAAGGGCAAATATAGCCTAGAACATATTTAAAACCAATTTTAAAATGCATGCCGTGCAACCTCTGTGTTGTGTGGGGCTCCGCATCTCCCATCAGCTCGATGGAAATGTAAACAGACCCATGTCAAGAGTTTGTTTTGGCTGGTTGCTGGTGCGGACCTTGTGCTACCAGCCATTTATTTCTTCCTCCGTGCCCATGTCTTTGCATGTGCAGGCTGTGCTTGTTCTCATGTAAGCTCTCGAGCGCCCGGCGCATATGTCACAATCTTGTGTGGTCCTGCGGGCCAGCTGCGTTTGCCACCGGAACTACTCCTACCCAGCTCCGCGTTTTTTTTTTTAACTGAACATATGACAGGGCTATGTAACAGCATATTTAAATAGAAAACCGTTGCATGCTCACATACACAATGTTTCCCGCCGTGATGAGTGGGTCATAAGCTACCCTATAGAATAATGTGCTGCAACGCCGACAAAGCTGTTTTTTTTTTTATGAGCGAACGAAGTTGTACTTTATTCATTGATCTGATTCCCCGGCTGCAACGCCTTTGGGCACTGTGGGGTGTCTGATGAATAAAGAATAAAAAGATACCATTGCAACAAAATTGAATTCTGTTTGGATGGAAAACATGAAATTTTTGTGTAAGTGCTCCTTCAATTTACCGTGCAAACTTAAAAGTTTGGCAGTACTAGAAAACCATGATGAGTAGTAATATACCGTGAACATTCTCCGACCTGGAGAGCCCATCTTAGGTCACCTGCCAAGTTGGTGCCACTGACGAAGCTCGCATCAATCGTCGCTCCTTTCTGAACTGCTGGCGGCGCACCTTTGCAAGGTCCCCCTGTTTTTCAGTCAATGGTCCCTGTGTCCTTTGCGAAACTGCATCGACATGTCTCGTAGTTGACAAGTAGAGATTAAAATTTACGATTCTATTTTATAAAACTACGACACAATCACATGCATATTGGACATGAAGTTCCTATTGTGCACCTAACTTTACAACCACGGATGTGTCTGCATTTTGCTCCTAGCTAAATGCAGCCACTGTGGCCTCGGTCCTAAATCTGATGGGCGCAATCGTGTAGCCGCCAAGCCACTGGGCGGAAGTGTCACAAAAAAGCCCACATGTCAGCACAGCCGTATGTGAACCAAGTCCAAATTTGTATGAAGGTGTAAAACCTGTTCCCCATTGTCTGAAAGGGGGAGGGGAGCGATTCTTAAATGAGAGAAAAGAAGATAAAAGTGAGCCCCGTAACTGTCAGCATCAGAGTGCGACACCTCGACAGTGGCTCACGAGGAAGGGGGATTAAAAGGGATAGGAATAGAAATGAGAACACCCACACAGGGAAGTAAAGATAAGGATAGAGAAAGGTGGGGATACGGCCGAAGGAGTCAGAGGACGGGGTACCACTCAGCGAGAGCTTCACGACATCAGGGGGTGGCAGGAGGGCGAGCCGGTCGGCCAGAGCTACGCTGTCGTCGGAGATCGCGAGGGCACAACCGTTCGGCACGGAATCCTGCGAGCGAGTCCTATGTCGCTATCATTATACAATTCATGGTCTTCAGAAGTACAGTGCCTATTGGGCCTGTACATATATGAAAATGCGATTGTATATGGATGATTATTGGGAGCCTTGAAGTAGCCGGCTACAAACCTCTGAAATTGCCAGACTACCAGCAACCACTATTTTGCGGGGCGGGTGCGACGTCACATACTGCACAGAGCAAAGTAGTCTTCTAGAAAAGTTTCAGCAGCTGAGAATCATTAAGTTTCAACGCCAAGCTGAGAAAAGCTGAAATCTCTCAATAGCATGCGCAGCTGGCTACGCAACAAAACTATTCTCCGGAATCGAACGGAATGCAAACACTCTCAAAAGAGCGGTTTGTCATGTCACAGCTCACAAGTGCATCAGTGTTTACCAGATTCAATGCAGTTGCTTATAAAACAATTCAGTTTTCAAGTAGGTGTCCACATTCACCAGCTTGTTTGTGAACCTTGGTTAACTTGGTGATCGTGCCATTTACGTGACGACAGGCGACGGAGGCACCGATAGACATAATGTCAAGGAAATTACAGACAAGTAGCAGCGCCATGCTAGCATTTCAATGCGCTACACTTACCTACTGAAGTGCTGGGAAAGCTCCAGGTAAGTGGCATCTGGGCAGTGCAACAGCGCATGATACCTGCTCAAGTATACCCGATCTTTCTTTCCACAAGTACTGTTCACAACAACTGTGATTTGTGCAGCTGGCCACTTTCACCAAAATTATTGCCAAACCATCATTTATAACTGATATATTTACATTGAAGGAACTATACCGCGTATACCTTTGTCTGATCAATCCTCACCTCTGCTGCAAGTGCCACTCTGCGCGGGACGTATTGATTGATGGGATATCACGCTGAGGACGTTGCAATCCGTGCAAGTGGCTTGCTAGATTAATTACAATTACCATATGCCCTTTTCCGTGCGTCTACCAGTGCATCACATCAACTATTTCGTGGACCAGCAGCTGAGCCCATTGCAGCTGCAAACAAAAAGCGAGTCACTGTACGAGGTCGACCACGTTCAAATATACAACACAAATGAACAGCATCAAAACCAAATCTTTTTCGCCACTGTTTTTCTGCAAACAGCTGGAATAAGCTGTCCTGCCCAGTGTGAATGAGTCCTAAATTCTTATGTCTACAGCACAAGAAAACCCCATGTCATACTCGCCGAACATTATAGCTCTAACACAATACAGAAGATCTCCGCGAAAGTGCTTGCTACACACGCGGTATTGAATGGTGGGTTGCTTCCCCGTTGCCAGCTTTTTCGATCACACATCATGCTGCTTTTTGGTTATGAAGTATGCCAGAAAACTCGCACCAGGCTTGGTCAAAGACGTTCAGCCCTGCAGCACAGACCCATAAATCATAGTGAAGGAAAAAGCAGATCTTCAACCTCAGGGATGAGATCCGGTTCCTGTGGTGGCCCTCCAGGGAGTGTGAAAAGTCCTGTTGACACATGTAACACTGAGTGGAAAATCACGACCACACAAACGAAAAAAAAAACAACACATAGACAGGACAGGTGCTCGTTTGCAACTGTTTATTTTTTGATAAAACAGGCTAATATAAACCCACTTCTCGTCAATGCACACTTAACGTACTCGAACTGTTGTTTACCTAATCATGCTATAGGACGGATTCATTCTAGATACCATGCTTTAGACTCGCACAGGATGTGTGAAGTTTCGCTAGCACAATTGATACCCCGTTTCTTTATGTAAAAGGCTTCCAAATGAGTCGGAAGCACGGTATCCGGAATGCATGTGTCCTGTAGTGTGATTAGGTAAACGACAGCACGTGTACGTTCCGCATGCATCGAGGAGAACCTGTTTCCTCAATGAATAAACAGCTGCAAGTGAGTGCCCGTCCTGTTTACGCGTTTTCTTCTTTTGTGTGGTCGTGATTTTGGTGCGAAAGTGGCAATTGAATTTAAGAGTTCTATAATGCTACATGGCACAAACTTTTTGAGACCAAATGAGAGTATAGAGTACAAACTAGAAATAATGACAAATTCAAGTCTGTGTATGGTGATGCTGCCTTTTATGTTTTCCAATAATAACACTGATGAGAAAAAGCTTCACTCGTATCTACCAAGTGCCAATGATCTTTCACACGCAAACAAATAAGTGCATTTCACAATAGTGTGATGGAATTGAACAGAAAATAAAATGATGACTATGTCTATTCCATGCAAATGAGCTTTCCCACACACTCACACACAGACACATGAAAACGAGGCATAAAATTGCCTAGTAGCAACTCAAAAGTTACAGAACGTCATGTTTTGATGCCAGCGCCATATTTTGCAGATACACTTGTTCACTGCCTTTAATTCTTGCTGCAGCACAATGTACCACTGGCCATGTGTCTTGAATTGTGACAGTGGGTGAAGCTTGAGGACTTGTCTCCGGTGCACAAGTGGGGGAAACTATCTTTCTATTTGAGATAGCACTCACACCACTCTCTGGTAAAACTTTCAATCTTTCATAGATGCTTTGCTCAACGAAGACATGGCGTCCTCCACTCTTGTACCTTCTTATAACCTCAAGTCCACGAGGCCAATGAAAGATTCTAGGGAGCTTAATGAACAGAGGCTGTTCAAATTGCAAGAAACATAGATCGATAATCCGCTGGTACTTCTTTTGGACAGGAGGTCATCGCTGCAAAGATGATGACCGCTGCTTGAGGAGAGCTTGTCGATCACGCAGCGCCTTTGCAGCCAGGTCACGGTCCTTTTTGGACGGTGTCTTTTTGCGTTGTCGCGCCTGAGCAATCCGTCGCCAGGCTTCGAGAAGCTCGTGATCGGCCACCCGTAAGCGACGGTTCAGTTCCTGCTGGGCGAGGCTCTCATCGCGCTCGTCTCAGAAGCGCATTGAGCTGAGCTCCATTTCGGTTGCTGATGCTCCGGAGCTCTGCTTGGCATCTCCGTAGCTCAGCCAAGACCTAAGGTGACGGAAGGCGGTTCCATGCAGAATTAGTGTGAATCACAGATTGCTTAAGTGCAACAAGGAAACAAATACACAAAGAGAAAAATAAGCGATAAGGCATAAGTTCAAGGAAAAACGAAGTTTGAAGAGATGCAAAATCCTTCAATGACGGGTGTCGCTGGATCCAGCGTTTTGTCAAGGCAGCAACTTGAAAAAAACTAGACTACTTATCAAAACATCTGCACCAGCAACACCCCTTCTCCAGATACTCATCTTAGATTGAGCTATAGGTGTTCACTACAATGTCACAATGGCTTCTAGCTTTTACACAATATTATTGGAAGTCACAAGAAAAAAAAGGCAATTTGCTACAAGATCAGTGCTTTCATTTTACCATAGTGGCCAGAAAAACCTGTCAGGACGCTTCTGCATTAAAATAGAAAAATTTGTATTCCGACCCGCATCACTTCCCATCTACCAAGAGATAGTGACATTGCCAATGCACTGCACTGAGCTTCATTCGCAGGTGAATTCAACAAACTAAGACATGCTCTACTGGCTGAACAGTGCACTTTCTGGGAACTGTCATGTTCAGCATCTGCCTCACTTCCTGGCCTGTCATCATATTGGCATTGACAGCAGTAGCTGAATTATTATTTAACAGATAACAACATAGATTGCTGGATGTACAGGACGCACATGCTCTTCCTTAGGCGTGAGCACACTGACTTCTGTCACTAGAAGAAAAGTTAGCACTAAATCTCAGCGATACAGTTACATCCAATCTTCCTGACGGGACAACTGTGCGGAACATCAATTGGCATAACATTAAAGGAAAGACTGTCTACTGTATTGTCTAAAACACATCCTGTTTTTCTCGTTAAGCATCTTTCATATTTCTTATTACCCACAAAATTACTTTTGGCACCTTTCGCGACAAAAAAAAATTGAGATGCACTTGTTGGCGATTATGTGATGTTTTGCTGGTGTATGCTGTTGTTTCTTTATTAGTGTTGAGTACAACACACTTTTTATTATAATATTTTCTAACTTAATACATGGTGATAAGCCTTTGTTTATACAGAGCAGAACAGTGGCACCGCCTTCGCATCATGTACAATGATCCCATGCTTATGAGCAGCAGCTCGGGGTTTTTAACTGAGAGTTTAGCAGCAACTGCAACTAGAAGTATAAACAGCAGGTTGTGGTCTCTGCGATTAGCTCTGGCAATGAACTGCCAAAGCTACACTCAAACCTCATTATGTAACAAAATTGCATCTTACATGAAATTAAGTTTTTTATATCCAAAATTCGTTATAAAGGTTTATTTTTAACACAACATTTATTGCAAGACCATTTTTCATTCACTTCTTCATAACTGATATTTCATTATATCCGGCTTCGTTATATCGACATTTGAGTGAATATACATGGGTAAAGCTCACACCACAGCCAGATGTCATGCACAGAAAAGTGCACAGTTTATGATCACAACCTTTTTTTCTCATCCTTTTTTTTTTGCGAACTGGTTGAAATTAACAATTTTTTTGAAGGTTCGTGCAAGTGTTGTATTCTCTCTTCTCGTCCTTGCGTCACTTTGCGCTAAATATTGCCTAATGACAGAACAAAGCTTGCAGTGCAATCTAGCTTGCATGCTTGGATAAGCAAGTTTCATGGCATAAGGCAGGGGAGAGAAAAGTGTGCATTTATAGTTTATGCCACAGAGCCTGCACGAGGAGTGAGAATTAGGAAAACAGGAGCCACAAATACTCGAGCCATGGCATGCTCTGAACTTCTGATATTCAAGTTATGCGTGGAGGCCGTCAGGCCAAAAATCAAAACAATCAATTCAACATAACACCGGTATGAACGCAACTGACAGTGATCAATGCTCCCAGGTGGGGCATGTCACAGCACATTTGTAGACAAGGAAGAGTAGGACACACAGGTGAGGAGGAAAAAGGGAATTAGCAGTACAGGAGGACAACGTGCGCCCTGCTTCCCCTGCGGCGACGCATGATGCCATGGCCGTTAGCACCTGGCTCTGAGCGTGCTGGTATGAGGCCACGCGCACTCACAGTTTTCAAAAAGTTCAATAAACTGTTGAAAAAATACACAAAATAGCCTGCTCGTAGGAACAGCCCAGTTTTCAAATAAGTACTTTGGTGATTTCGTAGATTTTCTTTTTCTAATGCTGTTGAGTTTGCTTTGGTCCTGCAAGATGAACGTTAGTGCCGTGACGTGACGGTAAATTTGGAACACGTGATTTTCGAAGGAGGCGAGAATGCTGTAGGCCCGTGTGCTCAGATTGGGGTGCACGTTAAAGAACCCCATCGCAATTCCCGGAGCCCTCCACTACAGTGTCTCTCGTAATCATATGCTGGTTTTGGGATGTTAAACCCCACATATCAATCAATCAATCAAATTTGGAGACCATGCAAATCAGGTCATGTGTGAAACCAACCTGATCATCCGGGTTGTCGGTCTCCGTGAGAAGGCCATGCTCGCGAAGCTCTCGGCGCACGCGTCGCTCCAGCTGCTGGGCAAGGCCAGGGCTCGGACCTAGTGGGGGGCCCAGCTGATTGTCCTCCAGAGGAGGACACAAGAGGTTCTCTTCCAGCAGACAAGAGACGAGCCTCTGTGTCAGGCTTCCAAGGGGCTCCCCGGCGCCTCCTCCCTTGCTGTTGTTGGCCCCAGATGACGCATTGTCGCAGTTGAGGCTGCCCCTCGTCTGCTGCGGGGACCTGAGTTGGGCATCCAAAGAAGAACAAACGCGAAACTTCAACCGCCAGCGCCGATCTTGTCACGTGATGATAACGAAGAAAGCAGATGCAGTCATTAAAGATGAGAAGTGTTTTTGGGTGTACTGCTGTACAATAAGCACAGATGTCAGTCATCGACTGACCTGCTCATCTGTGAAATGCGGCAGCTTTTATATATGCCTTAACGTACATTCCAGCGTTATTCCTGGTGCCCCCGTTAGCTGTCAAATAAATATGTTTCCTAGTGTACTGTGCGTAACTATAACAAAACAGCAAAAGAAATTGGGAAATTTCCAAACAATGCAGCACAGTCTATAATGATTAGCGGTAACAGGATTCAGTGGGTGAAGCCCGATTACACATCCATTGGCATATTCGGAGCAATTCTAATAGGACGTTTTCTGCTACATGCGGAGCAAGCCTGTTCTATAGGCAAAGTGAAGCAGCTCCATCTTCGTTCCAGTGGCAAATCTGGAGCAGCTCCGCCACTAGATCTGCTCCACAAAGCAACATTTGCTACTAAAAAAACACACTACATATTCAACCAGAAGTCGCAAGCGCCTGAAATGGTGCCAGCTATGGGCATGCCAACAAAGGCCAGTCGCATCAGTTGCGGCTTGCGTCGGAGCTCGCGTTTTACTAGCATAGCGTCGCTGTGATTAGCTGGCCCGCTCATGCAAGAAGAAAGACGCGTGCATCGGTTCCATTCTGACCCTGTAATTTGCTCCAGAGGGCCCGTGCACGTTCCATAAGTAGATTCCCTTTTGTTGTCCTCCACCAGAGTGGAGTGCTCCAGCGCAGAGTTCGTCGGCCACTTCGAATACACCAATGAATAACACAATACAATAAAAGAAATATGTGCGTGTGGCAATATTTATGACCTGGTAGGGACGGTGACTGGTAAGAACAAACCTTTCTACTGGGCTAACTTGTGCCCAGAAAGCTAGGTAACCCAAAGCACAAGCCTTGTACACTGTACACGGATAGACGTGATCACAGTCATCGGCGATTTGTAATCTGATCATCCACAGGAGCGTTGTCTTTTATACATGAATGATAAAAAAATCCCGGATTTTCATAACTGTTCCCGCTAGCTCGGGAATGAACTTGGCTGCTCGTGTCATGTGCACAATCATATTCAAGTACACTCAAACCTTATTATAACAAAGTCAGATCTGCCACAAAAATACTTCAATATATTGAAAAATTTGTTATGAATGTATGTTCTTAACACTGTATCTGCTACAAAGCTATTCTTCACTTTGTTATAACTGATAATTCGTTATATCCAGGTTCGTTATATTGGGGTTTCAGTGAAGTCTAAAATGTTCAAGATTTCTCACAAATACGCTGCGGCCTGTATCGAGCAGGGGTAAAAACTTTCGTGGATGAAACAAAAAAAATAAACAAGTATTCGTGGCAATATAAATACTATTGTCTCAGTACGATGCAAGCAGTGTCAATTCCTGATGTTGTCCGAGTATAATTTTGCTGTGAAAGACATGCGATGACGAAATTAGAGCTGCGATTACTTGGTCAATCACGCTCGTGTATTTTAGGCAGAAGCACCTTCGCTTTCAATCTGCAATGTCCTTTCGGTCGCTTAATGTAAGCTTCTTAAATTTTACTTTCATGTGCTAGCTCCACAACCTCCACAGAGAGCTGCAGCTGAATCTCAATGAAACAAAAATCACTTAAAGGCGCTATACAGCATTTTTTCGGCAGTGCATGAAAATGTAGCTGATCGATAGTCGAGGCTCTGGAGAACACACGAGCCAAACGTATTAACACATCGCGTGGCCCGGAATTAAAATTGATTCTCAAAGTCTACTGGAAATTGCCTCCTCTCCTATCTACAAATGATGCCGTATACCACACTGACTGCACTATTTATGCAAATTTACAGCCATTGGGTGATGTGAGAATCGTGATTTGCATAGTGACTAAGGTCGCTGTGAGACGTCGGCACGTGCCCGCATGCAGGCAGTCACATTAAAAGTCAGCTACGTCGTCAAAGAAAAAAAGAAGGAAAGAAAGAAAGCTGAAGGTCATGACACGCATATGCGCAACTTCTTTACCCATGCCGTCTCTTTCCGATTAACTTTTGGTGCGCTCGTTGGGACAAGAGAACAGAAATCAATTACAACATACGACAAATCTCTGTAACTCCGCTTGTACTTGACGGATTCTAAAAACCTTTGTGGCATTCGTTATATCCGTTATATCGTTATTTGTGAGGCAGTGAATTCCATGAAACCATTTGATGGCTATTGAAGAAGTGTTGCAGGGCCCCTCTAAACAAAATAAATGGTTCAATATTTAGCTGCTTTATGCCAATACATCTCGGTGAACAAAACTTAAGTTTACAGCCTGTAAGTTTCTAGTCTCTGGCCATGCTGCCCAGACAATAATGCCTCTTTAAAAAGGTGGCAAAGAGCAAGACGAAGTGTTTGTTAAACGGACGGTGTGTTATAAATGTAACCTTTTATTACGCGAGCTGGAGGCCAGGGAGATGTGAAACTGAAGCCACAGTGATAGATGGAAGCGAATTCGTCGGCTATTTATAGGCAGTGCACAATCAGGTACAATCGGCAGTGATGGCACTCACTGAGAAAGTACACCAACAGTTAGTATGGCACACAATCTTATTAAACAAAAATTTGTCACTACACAACTTGTGACAACAGCCCCGAAACTTAGGACAGAAGTACGTGCACCTCAATTATTCACTCGTTCAATCTGAAAGCGCCTATTAGCAGCTCCAGACCTTGGAAAAAGTGAACTTTTATTGTACAAAGAACGAAAAAAGCTTTAACTTTGTAATAAGAACTTTACAACAGCATTTAGATAGTGAAATGCAGGGCCCGGGCATAACAAGCAAGAAAAAAAAAAGAAATCATGTAAAGCTGTTTATACGTCCTAATCCGACAAATATATCTTTGTAGCATATTTGGCCTGTGGTGAGATTGTATTCCTGTGAGATAAAAGATTATAACAAGGCTTGGTTGCTAGTTCTCGCAACAGTGCAGGGGTTTAAAAATAAGGCTGAAAGAGCACCTTGCTCCCTGGGCTCCACCACCAGCAGCTCGAGCTCCCTGGGTTTGCTCCTCCTGGAGGTCCTCTTGTGCCCAACGCTGGGCGTAGTGGCGGCCTAGAGGCGGCACCCGCTGGTACTCCGAGGCCTCTTCCTCACGGGCACGCATCAGCTCTTCCAGGGCACGCACATCGTCAGCCGTAACCTGTCGAGTGGCCAGACATCAGCAAAACCCCACGACACCGAAACCCACATTGCACAAGCTAACTGGCTTTCCATACCAAACGGTCCAAAACAGAATATGGGCAAGGGCCCACACATAGGCCTGCAGCAGAATCAAAAGTTGGACTAGTTGGAACACCAAAAAGTTTACTGCTGGGCGAAAAGATGATGACATGGAGACAGGTAGCATGAGACGGTATATATTCTTTTGTTGTTCCGTCTTCGTCTTCTCACACTATGCTAAACATGTGATGGGCATGCAAAGTGTCCTGCATTAGAGGTAGGCTTGTGCTTATATTCGAATGCTTCAATTGTTTGAACGAATATCAGAGTATTCGAATTTAGGTTACTGAAAATTTCAAAGTATTAAATATGAACAAGTAAGTGTACTATTCACGTCAAATGAAACCTTCATGATGGTATAGTAGGCGTGGTCCACTTATCACCATGAACAGGCAGGCGTATATGCGCACGGCTGCCGTACAGAATGCGTGCGCCTGTCAATGATGATAACTGGACGGTACGGTGCACAATATACCACCGTGAAGCCTTGCCGCTGTTAGGGTTTCATTTGATGAGCATAACACATTACTCCGCGTGTAATCTTTGTAAAGGTGGCTTCCCTGCAGTGAAGTGATGCTAAGCCCTGAAAACACCTATTCAAATGCATATAACTTTTTGTAAAGGTGGGTTCACTGCGGTAAAGGTGTGCGCAGCTGCAAAAACCCCTACCCATTGGAAATCTGCGCTGCAGCAAAGCCCCATTTAATGAACATGTCACCCTCACATTGATTGATCACTTTTTTACATTTAACAGCTTGTTATACCAGCTTATATGCCCTCAGTATAGTAAATATTAAAATGTAATATATTTTACAGGTTATCACTTGCATTCTACCAAAAGTTAAATCCTGTTACTATTCAAAGTTGGTCCCATTTCCTTTGAACAAAAAAAAAGGCATTTGCACAGGCCTTGTCTCAATATTAGAAAAAAAAAATAGATATTGTGCAGCTTAGTTAGGTCATAACAAATATACCTATTCTTTGTAATATCGGTTATATATACTATTTGAATTTGATTTGAAATTATTCGACCAAAATTACTATTCTCTTCAAACCTGAAATTCACTACTCACACAGTGGTCTAGTGGCTAAGGTATTCGGCTGGTGACCCGCAGGTCGCGGGATCAAATCCCAGCTGTGGCGGCTGCATTTCTGATGGAGGCGGAAACGTTGTAGGCCCGTGTACTCAGATTTGGGTGCACGTTAAAGACCCCCAGGTGGTTGATATTGCCGGAGCCCTCCACTATGGCGTCTCTCATAATCATATGGTGGTTTTGGGACGTTAAACACCACCAATCAATCAATCAATCACTACTCACACAGGCCTAATAGAACCTGTTGAGACACCAAATTATGAGGTGATAAAAAGCCTGCTATAGGCTTCCTCCATATGCAAAGGCACTCTACATGAAGTGTTGCAGACAGCAAATCTTTAAAATTTGTTTTATATCGCTACCAAAGTGTGCCTAAATGCTCCTTCTCACAATTGACACGCATCAATAGTGCGACCGACACTACATCACTAAGTAGGAAGCGAAATGAAATTTTTAGTGATAACATACTGCATTAAAAAAGTGACGTGCAAGGAGTGACATGGTGCACATCACTTTTCTCAGTGACCCCCAGAGCCACTGTTGTGTACAAGCCTAGACAGCATCGACTGCTAACCCACACTCGCTCATTTCTCTTGGCGTGGTGACGAAAGAACCGAGCTAGCTGACTTTTTTCAAGGTGCTTCGTATTGCAAAGCAGACTTGCCAAGATGATGCAATTTTAGTCAGTCCACAAACTGATTTGCAGTACTGTGATATCGGGTGAATTCAGCCACAAACATGAGAGGCCGAATATGTGGGGGGCCTCTGGTGGGGCTCAGAAACCAGACAAGCACAGAAATTTATTGCGGAAACCTATTCTATACCGTTTGCCTGCAGTTGTAAATTTTCAGCAGATGTGTAAATTCAGATGCATCGCCTTTCTAAACACCTTTTATTGACACTAGTTGAAAACAACTAGTGTCATTAAACAACTAGTGTCATTGTACAACAATTGAGATGTTGTACAAAGCTTCACAAGGTGTCAGTGCCACCATCTAGTAAACCAGTTTTCTGCAAACACCTCTCTGCGTATGCTGTACTACATTACACAGTTGAATTCTTTATCATAGAATTTCAGCGAGCGTCAAAAGCATCTAGATGGCTGCTCGGGCTCGTGTGAGAGAGAAGTTGAAGCAGGGCTGTGTGCATCGAAGCTTTGTGGGACCACGTTGTAACACTTTCCATGGTCAGACAAAACTTGAAAATTCCGAAAGGGCCTTGCCCAGACAGCCAAAGTGGATTGCCAGACCCACAACCAGTAGCACTTTGTGCTTGCAGCAACGGCTGCAGCCATTTTATATTCGCATCTACTCACTCACTCTAACAGCATACTCCCCTCAGCTAGGTCTCCAGCTAAGCAAGGCACCCATCAACTCATGCATTCACCTCAGAGCACTTGGTGAATACACACACTGGTGCAACCTTCACTATACTAGGCGACAACTTTTCTCGAAAGCACTGTGGAAGCTACAGAATCAAAGCACATTCCTGCTACTGAGCCAAAAAAATTTTACTTAAGTTTACTAATTTTCTTTTCTCTTTTGCCTTGCTGAAATGCATGTTGCAATATTTATCACGAGACTCAAACAGTTGTGGGAAGTCGTAGCTAAAATACAGTCATTGTCCACTTTGAAAGAATGCCGTGTTTTTCAATTCTTAAACAGCACCACCTTTTCAGCACGCTTGCTTTCCAAAGTAAACATGGTGTCCATAATGTAGTGGGCCAGTGTGCAGCTGCAAACGCACTGTTTAGTTCACTAAAAAAGATATCCTTACAATATGACATTACAATGTACACTGAACAATCCAAATGTTTCCCCATTCACATTTTTTTGCATAAATGATGCAAGTGAGTAAAAGCAAAATCATCCACAAGCTGCCATACTACTTGCAGAGTAACCCGAATGCTAGCCTTCACTCCAATGTCACGATAAGTTGTTGCCGAGTATAGCGAAGTGCAATGAATGTTCTGCTAAACCTGTCAACTGTATACAAGAGCACTAAATGTCCCAAGAACTGTCTCCTACGATAATAAGTACAGAATACAAAAACAAGCTTACATGGCCACAGTAAGGTTCCAGCGAAGCCCAAAAGCGGTTTTGGTGCATCATTACGAGCAACTGAGGGTCCTTCTTCAGTGGTGACACCCGTGGCCAACGTGGATGAGCTCGACGCCACTTGCTTGCGTGGTGGTCGTCCACCAGTGAAAACCTGTAGCATGATAGAAAATACAGTCAACATTTGCAGCAGCAGTCATGTACAGCATCAATGGAAAAAGACTGGCACAAATGACCGGTTACCAGTGCAGCAGGGTTATGAAACACAGTGCTGATTTTTTCCAGAGAGGGCGCCGATATCGAGAGTGTGAAGCACATTTCATTTTGTAGTTCAGGGATGGCCGGTGGAGAGCACTCCAACAAGCAGCTTTCAGATAGGCCAACTGGAAGATGGCAGGGGGCGAAATTATTAATGGGTCCATCTAGCTGTCCACTTCAGCTAAGCACTCGAAAAAGGGGTGAGTCATAAAGTCGTGGCACTCTTGACCACATTGATTCATCGCACCCGCCAGCACATTCCCAGAGTAAAGAGAAAGAAAGCAGATGAAATGTAGAGTAACAGGACATTTAAACAAACTTTACAAGCCTGCACTCTCGCATGAACGTATTCAGATGCTTTAGAACAATGCGTCCAAAAGCACATCTCTGGGTGCAGCACTCATTGCGGTGAAATGCATGCCGTCTTTCCATTTGTGTCGAGAGTTGTGAAAGCTTCAGTAGCGTCAAAATTAGCAAGCGTGGAAACTTGGGCAAGTTGGTAAGACATAACTGAATGTAGGAACAGCGCAACCTAGAAGTAGTTACTTCGTAACTATGGAAGCGCTCTATCTGTCCTCTGTTTTTTCACTTCCATAGTTATGAAGTAACTACTTCTATGTTTCACTGTTCCTACATTCAGTCAAAATTACGTTGCAAAAGAAAGAGTAGGAACAGGGGGCACACCGTTCGCCGAGCTCCAGCCAATCAGCGAAGGCCAAGATGGACCGAGGTGAATTGAGAATCGCGCCTCTGCTTTTGACACGCCCCAGCCAGCCATCGCTGCTTTGGAAAATGAAATGTGCATAGGCAATCTCACTATAGGCATGCTCGTGAACACTGCCGTGTGTAGCAATTTGTGGCTGGAACCACAGTTCGCTTGTGCTAATCTTTTTTCCATTGATACTGTACATCAAGTTCCGACACGTTAGCTGCATTCAATATTTATCTAAAAATGAAGCACAATATTAGCTCAAGCAATCCAGAAAAATCCAATTAGGATAAGTTCAGGAGAAAATGAATGACAATTTTTCTTTTTGCTACTGTTCTGGTGAAGACAAATCCTGTAGATGAAACATTTGCCTTGGCTACATTCCTAGTTCAATAATTTTTGATTGTTTATTGCAATGAAGCAGTGGTTATGGCACTCAGCTGCTGACTTGGGGTTATGGGCACAGGGCTGCGGCGGTCGCAATTTGATGAAGGCGAAATGCTAAGATCCTATGTACCATGTGATTCGAGTGCATGACAATATACATCAGATGGTCCCCATTCCGATGTCCTCCACTACGGCATCTCTCATAATCGTATAGCACATTTTTCACTTGCTGTTATGTAGTGCAAGATTAATCTGCAGCCGTCAAGCCACCATGTGGTAACAATAACAACAAGCAGAAAAAAAAACCAATGCACCAGAAGACTCTCACATAAACGAATACCCTTAAATAATCAGATTGTTTAGCTTATTGACATCTGTTTTCATTTCTCCATCATGCCGCTTGACTGCATTCGGAGGCATCATTTGCAGGTTCATTCAATTCACTTGCACAATTCTCAACTTGTGCATGATGGTGCACAAGTTCAGAAATTTTGCAGCACTGGTCCAGTGGTACAGGTACAAAGCACTAAAAATGAAAGGTAAAGTGCTAACAAGGCGCAGGTCTTGCCCACTTAGCGCGCTTCATCCGCTTAAAGCTCCTGAGGCCACGAATTGCATGTACGATTGATTGCCAACACATACACACACCTTTAATCGCAAAGACGCAGCCAATGCACGTAAGCAAACTTCAATCGGCACCTATGCCCATGTGCTGTGCTGCTTCTTCAAACCCGCACCCTGACAGGAAGCTTGAGGAGTCGCAAGAAAATTGCAAACCAGCTGCCACTGGACGGTTACATCAAGCTCCTTCTGCTAGAGCAGTGTAGTTCAGTGGATGTGGACAGTTCACCACTGAAACTAATGGCAGTGTGCAGCTTGTACACAGTATCAGGTGGTGCCTGTGGAGCTCAGACATTGCGCAGCTCGAGTTCAGCAGTGCAGGCCATATGCTTTGTACCTTTAATATGCTTCGTCAGTGCCACAAAGATCCCGAACTGCTCACCTTCCAGACAGTGCCGAAGTTCATGTGCTGCATCACAGCTGCACTGCTGTCAGCACAGCGGTGTGTGCAGAAAAATTGTGAATTATCCCTGCTCGTTTCTTGCATATTTTGGAACAAGCTACATGGTTCAGAGCAGGGGGATTATCCAGCATTCTGGTTTCAAACATGTGTTACAAATTGAAGAGTGCAGAGGTGGCCGTGTAAACGATTGTGCCAGGAAGCACCATTGCTACCTGCTCAAAACAAATGCAAGGGTGCAAATGATTTGAACAGATTTAATAGGTATAGATGTCTTTCGGAAATAATTTGGCGAGATGTTGAGCCCCTCCTAGACTGGTGTAAGAGTATCTGCAATGGCTACAACAAGATTGCACGTGACACGACCGACCATCAGGGTAACCAAATGACACTGCAAAGCAATCGACAATAAAGTTTCATCATTAGTTCCTGCATTAAATTTGAAATTAAGGCTAATGTGAGAATCAAAACTAAAGCTATCATTTGAGGCTTCAGGTTTACAGGCACTTGAGATAATCTTGTGAAAAATACTGGGATTCCCTATATTTACCACACATTTTTGTACACAAGATGCAAGCCCCGAAGTGACGACAATCAAAAATACATATTGTTCTTGTGAAGGTCTTGGTGTACTTCTAATTTCTGTGTAATCTGAGGAAGTGAGCAGCACGGGAAACCGCGCGATTCTCTTGGCGCTTGCAACCGCGTTGGTGGTGATCGTGCACTTGCCGAAGCAATGGCGTCCTTCCTTACACAGTGCTGTTACCAGCCGCAGCGATTAATCTTTAGAGGGCAAAGCTCCTTATGAAGTGGCTTGCGCATTCCATTGTCGTAGTATGTAGCCTGTGGCACATACCCGCATACCAGTGGCGCATATCTGCCCTCGAAACATATCGGCATGTAACGAAAAATGTAGCATGGCATCGTTATCATGCTCTCGGTGTTAAAGCGCTGGCAGCAGAAATGTGGTACATACTCTCGTTTAGTCCTTGGATTGTCTGCTCAATGGCGGTACTTGTATACGATGAATATATGATAAAAAGAAGCGAGATGGCAGTACTTGGAGTGTTCACTAGATGGACGGACGGACGGCCAGACAGAAACACGAACGGGCGCACGTACTGAGGGACGCTTCGCCCCATTCATCATCATTCATTCCGTGGATATGCTGTAATTTTTTTTGTTATATCTGTAGTTTATATAATTCTAGGTGTTAATTTATTTGACACTGGTTTTGAGCCTTGTTTTAGGCCAGTGATGTTCTGGGCAGGGAATTTTCCTTTTCGGGAAATTTTCAAACATAATTTTGGATGAAGGAGAAAAGGGGAATCTGCGATATGGCAGGGATTTTAAAAAATGATTAAATTCACCCACGAGGACCGATTTATTGCGTTCAGTGTGCGCCTTCAGGTTCTCCAATCGGTTTTGACACATGCAGCATGCAAGCTCTTGAGGTATGTAATATTTATGTTAAGCATGTAGTTCACTGCTGGTGTGGACTCGAAACCCACTTTTGGCGATGTAATTACAGCACACGAGTTAAGAAAATCACGCTTTTGTTGTGCAGGAGCACAGGCGCTAATAGTCGCAAACACACAAGTCACATACATGCACACACATACATGACATGTGTGTGTGTGTGTGAAGGGGCGCGCATGCATGTTACAAATAATGTGCAGGGAAATATGCTGAAAATTTTGTCAGCGTTTGCAGAGTAAAATGCCGATAATAGCGAATTTTCATGTCTTGAAATGAAATTCTTCGGCATAGTACGGTTAGGCATGTATTGACAACCGAGTCACCACGCGACATGACACGGTGGACGACACGCCGGACTGAAATGCTACGCACTTAAAGACGCACCATACTCAAAGCGCGCATTTGGAAAAGCCGTCAGAGAGCTTGCCGGAACTGAGCCGTTCCTAGATTTCCATGAAAAGTGAACAATGCTTACTTTTCCACCATCCCTGAACTTTTTTGAAGGCTTGCCATCGGGTGAAACGCGGCTACGCTTGCCTGGCGCCGAAGGTGTGCCGCTGCCACCAACGGGAATCTTTTTCTCCTGCCACGACAGCAACAGCTGAGTCTCGTGCGCCAAGCGCCTTCGTCTCTCGCACACCGACACCAGTAGCGTCTCGAGCTCCAGCTGCAGCGGCTCCAAGTCCTCGAGAGAGACCGTAGCGTCGCCCTGCGCGATCGTCGTGTAGCGCGGGCATTCCTGCACGTGATCCACAGGACTCACGTCCGGAAACTGCAACGGACACTCCTCAGAACCTTTGCCTTTGCCCTTCATGAGCGCACTTCACACCCTCACGGTACTGTCACAGTGGCTTTCAGGATAGAACGCGGAAGCAGCAAAGCTCGTTTCACGGCGTCCCCTCCACACAACACTCCACACACCACGTTTGAAGAAGAAAAAAAAACAAAAAAACCGCTGCGACACACCGCGTTCACTTGGCTTGCGGGCACCCCTCCAAGTCGAGCGCTTTGGAGACGGTAGCGAGGTTCGCGCAAGTTAGCGGCACAGAACCTCCCGACGATAAGAGTCACGGCGAAATAGCGTCATGTCTCACGCGTCAACCGTATAAAATAAAACGCATCACACGCTGGTCAGCTCAAAAACGACGAATGGCTGCCATTTTGACAAACAAATGGAGGTACTGTGTGCTCAAGTAAACGTTTCTTGAAGTAAAAATGTAGGCAGCGCCCTCTGGGACAATCAGCACAACAATGCCTTCTCTTGTTGAGCCAGCACAATAACGTCAGTGAGGCTAATAGAGTGAGCCAGCGCCTCCCAAGTTTTTAGCCGTGTGTTCCAGGAACAGACTGGTGGGGTAGGGGGACATCTTTAGCAGAAACTTGGCTTTTGAAGTAACGTAACAACGTCTGAAACATATCAGGTCTTTCAAATAGAAAGAGGCGACCGTTTACAAGTTTTTTTTTCTTTTCCTTGTTTCAAAACGAGCTTCCAACTAAAGCGAAGAAACTTTTAAAGTAGAGGCAGCAGATTCTTCGAATGATGATCTCAAGGGCTGTAGTCAGCTCCATAGGCACGAAAGAGTCAAGATTGCTCCTGGGATGCCTTTCTGAACTGCAGTGTACGAGTACTTTGTCTTAAGCACAGAAACTAGCTTATGTTTTCTAGGCACTATACCACAAAACAAAATGTTCTGCCAAGTACCACTGCAATATTCGAGGCGAGATGGAAAACAGGGGATCAACAAACGATAAGCACACATCATGCAAGAGAAGTGAAGATGCTTGTTTACTTGCAAAAGGATGCTTCTGCACACTTCGACAATGCCTTCAGCCTCACCTAATACATAGTGCACTAAAATACCCTTGCAGCAGTTAATAACGCACAGAGCCATCACGATAAAGTTATAAAGGAAGCCCACGACCTGCTAGAACAGACCTACCTTGCAAAGGTGGCACGTTATAAGAAAGTCCTTGTGCTATGTGTGTACGCATGCACAAGGTAGTTTTTTTTTATTAAACTTACAAGCAGTGTGATTCAATTAAAAACCCCGTTTTTGACAGATAGCCATGCCAGTGGTCATCCATTTTTACCAATTCTTATAGCAACAAATTTCAAATTGAACAAACCTCTGCAAGCAAGGGTTACTGCAAAGTAAACTTCTCATTTTGCGTTCGTCACGCATGCATACTATAATCACGCTGGTACCAGAGCTGTCCCATGAACGCAACTGAATAGTGTGCCTTCAGCACACAATATGGGTTATGAGGTTCTCCTGCTTGCCAAGAGAAGTGCACAATTAGACGAGTCACTGTCATTCTATCATTCAATCACCTCTAAATACTTTGTCTTCTCACCACTTGACTCACCTAGAAAAATAAGAGTACGTATTAGAACCAGCTTTTGTGATCCTAGTCAGAAGCTAACAGCATCTATTTTTCTTTCCTTAGAGGCTTTCTTTTGGGGCTACAATAATGGGAATGTTTGCTCTGCTGTCTAGAAACTTCTCAGAGCCCAACTGCTCTGATAACTTGCTGCTTTTAATAATGAATTATTGATTCTTTTGTTATTATTGCTATCATGTATACCTTACCATATCAATAGCACTTATTCTGTATCAGTACAAAAACTTTCTCTTTACTACATGCATTTTGTGGCCCATCCCAAAGGGGGGGCATGGCCACAGATGAAGCAAGTTTTCGGTTAGTGGCCTTATCCGAGGACAATCATTCTTGAAGGTCTCGCTCTCAGTGCAAGCTAATTAAGGAAAGGGGGGCAAGTAGGCACTTAAACGAGTGAACATGCAAAAGTATGTAAGCATCATGCAAATCAGTCACTCATTAAACATATGAAATATGTCATGCAAAAAAGGGGCATAGGCATCTTTTTTTTGGGGGGGGGGGGGGGGGGGGGGAAGGGTTCAATTATAGTTTACGTATATATTCATGTGCACGTTTGTATGCGTCCGTGTATATATAACAAAAATTGAAAAATTTCGAGGTGGTTTGAATCCCCGCCCTCTTGTGCGCACCTCTGATGGAAAGCCGTCACTGTTGTTGAAAGTGACTGGTTTCGAAACACAGCCCCAGGCAGACTGGCATGCTCGTTTGAGACGTCACATAGCCACATGTACACTCTCAATGACAAGTTCAAATTTTGAACAGCAAAAGTCCTGAACGTTCTGAATGGTTCACATTAAAATTTCCTTGCCTAGTTATTTCTCACTGCTTGAAAAATTGGGGCTTTGCATTGCAACCCTCCGTGCCCACCCTTGTGAAAAGCACAATTCCGTGCCCACTCTTGTGAACAGCAGCTTTGTTTTCATAGTGGTAGTGATAAGATAAAGTGATCTGGTTTAATGTGGAACTAGATACATGCAACACCCGATGTCAAGTGTGTAACAATTATGCTGCGAATGGTTTTCAAGGAAATGCATACTTTTTGCTACACATGTACTCCTGCATCAGTGAAAAATTTGTTGTACAATACACGTGTTACCAGATGCAGATTTTTAGAATGAAAAGTGAAGTAGGAGAATTGCAAGTTCAACTTACCCTAGGCATTTAAGAAAACAAAAATAATTTTTATCTAAAACATGAGAGATAATTTGTGTCCACTTATGTTCATGCAATCTTGAAACAGCAACTTCAAACGCACAAGATGTTCTGAGCGTGCTCCTTGAATGGGACCATGCAACAAGCGAACAATAGACACAATAACAGTAAAAGCAACTCATTTATTGGGGTTCTGAAACCACGTGACACCATATTGAATTGCACTGAATATATATCGCAGACGCACCTCACAAGAGAGGCAATCATGGCATAGCCATTAAAGTCCACGTTCATGCAAACTCGTGCAAGCAAAGCACCAGCAAATGTGACAGTCCACAGGCCAATGCTAAAGGCCCGTGCCTTTCAAAGGCGGCTGGTCAAACAGCAACACGCTGTCGCACGGACATTACTAATGACTTACTCTAAACGACACATCCTCAATGAGGCACCAACCATCTACACTCCTCTATGAAATAACCAAGGCACACAATTAAGAAGATAAAAATGGAGCCGACCATAACACTTATCAGCCGCCGATTCAAACAGAGGCACAGACAGCAATTTTTTAGGATCACCTAAAAGTTTATTAATAATCCTAGAACAGACACACAAATGCTTGGGCATACCACAACCTTTAACACTCTGTTGAGCATGCCTTCATATCTACATGCAGCTTAATAAGTAATTTTGGCTAGCCACTAATATTCTTCTTGTAGAAAGAGAAGACATACCATCACGAGAGAAATTATAAACAGTTAAGACACATGTACAATGTTACTCTTTCCATCAAAGCAACAACACACGCGAGCGATATTGCACACACCTCTCATACGCCGGCTTTGTTTTTCAAGTGCTGAAAACAGTTTATACATAAGCTCCAAGTAGAATAAGCGCAAACTGGCGGGGTTCCGTTTAAACTTCGCATAAAAGTCATCATTAAATTACACAGCATGCAACTGACATAGATACTACAGACAAGCAGCTCGTATTCATTCCCATGACAGTGACACGTGTCTAGAGTAAACTGAATTTGTACAGTAACCTTAACATTCAGGTTGTTCCAGTGGCTTCCCAGCAGTGATTCATGTGTGTGGAACAGCACACATGAATCAGACACACACACACCAGAAATCAGCTGAATAACGCAAAGGGCAACTCATTGCAACCATAGGCACCCGTGAACCACAGCTGTCTCTATGCCGTTGTTCACAAAGTTCGGCCTAAGTAAGTTCTGTGTTAGCGCGCTAGACACATTATCAACCGAAGGTTAAAGGCAATGCACTCCTAGTAATATTGGTCATTTACTTTACGTGCCAGGACCCATACAAACGTGAAATGACGCCGGCATCGAGGCCACAGATGTAAAGAGTTACTTGTTGTAAAAGAGCTTTTGCAATTGTAAAAGCAGAGAGAAAATCAAGCAGCTGCTTCCAACGAGCAAATGCACCACCTTGATGCCGATCACAAAGACTGGCAAGTTCGATCTTCCTCGTTACCTTTTCAGCAGTAGTACCTTGACATGTCGAGTACAAACCACAACGCTGTATAGTACATCAAGCAAATGTCAGGTTCTGTACAGTGTGAACCGGTTATAATGCAAGTCGCCAGAATTGTGAAACTGCACTGTAGCAAAAGCACGCATGCACAATACCTGTACAAATACAAAATACATCAGTCCAAGCGACCAGGATAACCATGGTGTCATAATGTCTAAACGAGATGTTTATCTATCCCTTGCACTATGCGCCACAGCAACTCTGGCTGCCTAATGTGCCTAAGAGGTCTTTCAGCAGCTATCACTGATTCTCTGCCATCATTTGGCAGCACTGAATGGTGCATGCTTTTAGCTTTATGGGAGAAAAAATAGTATAAAAATGCTCCCTCAGTCCTTCTTGCAAGCAGTTACGATACAATCAAGCTGGAACTGCACTAAGAAAGTTGCTACATGCTCAAAACCAAAAGCAAACCAAAATTATGGTCGACTCTGTACAGAAAGAAATGAAGATCTTTTTAAAAACAACCACTCAAGCGAGCAAGGCGAAATCGACGTGGAGACAGTGACACGGACTGTCACTAATATTCTACCAGGCCAGCTTTCGTGCCGTACAATCTAGTCTACCACAAATCACTGAGCAATGACAGCCTGGAAAGCTTTTGTAAGGGCACATCACTTCATACCATAGTCAACATGTTCAAAGACTGCAAATAGATGCACAGCACCTAATTTTTGTGGCAGTTGCTACTTGTAAACAAAGTATGTGATGAAGCAACTTGACACACAGCACGTCAGACACCGATCCCTCCTTTCTGTTACAATTATTACACCTGAAGCCGTTACCGAAGCGAACAGTACAGCCTAAAGCTGCATGCATTAGAATCAATATCGGCAACACCAACACCTTAAAAATGTGCCAAGCTTTAAGAGAGTACAACTGGTAAACTCAGCAGACAATCGCATAAACAAGTAGTTAGTACCACGCAGCAAAAGGCATAACAGACTGCTTGATACTGAGCGATCTATTACAGCACATGCTCATGGTTGTTGAAGTGTAGCAAGAGTGAGTGTAGTGGTCATGGTCCAGTTAACTGATGGAGGCATAAGCCTCCAAGACAAACAGCGTCTGTCTGTGCTTATCTCGCAGTGGAGAACATAAGAAGCTCGTGTCACTGCGTCTGGGCCAGGAAAGCTGAGTCGACAGAGCCCCGTCATGTGCCACAAGAGAGTTGAAGAGTTAACGAAGAGGACTACAATGCTGATTTGGCAGCAGTGGATCCTCCCTCTCTCTTTGTTTCCAAAAGCTTTGTAGCAAGCAACGCTCAGGATAAAATCAGAATACCACACACTCTGCAAAAGAAGAAAGTGGCACAGACGACAAGCTCTCCAAGCTTCGCAACAGTTCATAGGAACGACCAGGCTTCTGAAAAGTGGCATGCAAAACTTTTCCCGCAATAGTGGGCTATGGAAAAGTGTCGCAAACGTAGCTGTTTCGATTCCACTCGAGGATCAGATGCAAAGTCGTTTCGCAGCACTTCTCAGAAAGCTTCTCACTGCACGGCTGACTTCACGAAATTCCAGAGGCTCGACGAAAGCGAAACCGAATGCAGGTGACGAACTGGAAGCCACACATGCTCGACACCGTGGGTCATTGTCGAAACCAGCACAGCATAAACTACCTGCATAGTCAGTATGTTCCGTAACGGTCTTGATGCAGTTCCCTACGGACGGGCTCGCTGATGGAGTTAGAGAAACGTAGGTTTGCGCATATTCCTCATATGGTTGAGTCCTTGCCAGCATTTCGAGTCTCTTCACTGGTAGATGACATGGAAAAGCATCTCGAGGTGCATGGGCTCCTGTGGGCCAGTAAGCAAGGGCACCAAAGCGCAGTCCAACGGCTCCTGGCAAACAACCGGTAGTGGCTGATTCTGTGCACCGGCTTCGTAGCCGACTTGATCGGGACCCAGCTGCGCGCGAAGGCCAAGCGGAGACAGGGGTTGCAGCAGGGTCAGGTGCGGCAGCAGCGCCTCGCAGAAGGCTCGAGCCAGACCTTCGGCAGCGCGCTGGGGGTCCTCACATCTGGAATGTGAAGTGAGAAAGATTGTTGGGGAGGGGGCAAGGAATCGCTATTACACTCAAACCTCGATATAACGATCCCAGATGTAACAAACTATTGGTTAAGAATATACTTTTATAATGAATTTTTGGATATAACGAATGCATTCTCGTATAAAATGCAACATTGTTAATGATGAGGTATGAGTGTTTTTGGCGAAAAACCTAAGAGCAAGATAAATAGGCACTGCTTATAGACAAAAAATTGGCCCATATCTGCATGTATCACTGCAAATGTCGTTGAAAGACGATAGTCTTGTGTGTGGAGAGAGTGAACAAAACATTTATTTGATGTTCTGCGCGAGAAAATCAGTGAATTGTATTCTGGAAGCACTGCGTTAGAGAGTCTCGATCCGCGCAGCGAAAGGCGAACAAGCGCATCGAGGCACGTTAAGCACGAGCGCTATCTGGCAGTTATCACCGAAAAAGAAAGAAGGCGTGCGCGCCCACGGAGAAAGATGTGTGCCTATCTCGGAGGCGATAAGGTTGTAGAACGCAAAGCCACGGGCAGGTGCCACCACCGTGTCGTCTTAGCAAAGTGTTGGAAACACTTGCCTTTCTGTGCATCACATTGCACTGTCAACGCGACGTGATAAACGCTACGGTCCTTAGAATTACTTATGTGTGCCTTCTCTAGCACAAAGACACACATACAAAATATCGACGTGTTGTTATGGTGCCTCAGATATGCGCAATTATTGCTTTTTAATTGACAATTGTAGCAAGTATGAACACTGTAACTTGAGCAATATTGGTGGGCGCTGTGGATGGGGGTGACCGTTTGGGGTATCGTTATGGTGGACAAATAGACAACGTACAGACGGACAGACCAAAATTTTGGTGTCGAAAGTCCCCAAGAAAGACTATCGTCTTTAAACAACCTTAGGCGACAGTGACAAGCAGCCAGTTCATGACTTACTTCTTTCTGTGACACTTCAAGTGCTTGTCGGGGCTTTCGTGTACCAAAACCGCAATATGGTTTTGAGACATGCTGCAAAGGAGGGCTTGAACTCGCCATGCCAAGCCCCTGGCTCTCAATCAACACGTAATTCATTCTCATGGGTAAAGAATCGTGTGACATAATGTGAAGTTATCAGGTGGCTCTGAAACTTCTGAGGTTTTGTAGCCACCTGCTTCATCTTTTTGCATGACCGGTGTTCTTGAGAAAGGTGCTCTCAGTATTGCAATAGGTAACTTGCTAAAATAAAAGTGAAATCATCCTTCTGTTTAGTAATGCCTGAAGTAAGATAAGGGCTATAGATCAGATGATGGAAGGTAATACTTTATTCATCAGAAAGCAACTGCGGATGATTCCGTGTTACATGGCCATCAACCCAAGGTTGGCGGCGACCTGTGTGGCCCGCTCCACGACCCTTAACTGGACGACTGGGTCTGAGCTGGTCAACACGGCCTCCCAGTGCTCAAGAGAGGGATCATGCATAATATCCACCGGCGGCGGCACTATGCTACATTCCCAAAGTATGTGATCATATATATCAGAGATCTTTGGGAAAAACTAATGTCCCATGGCAGATGTGAAATAGGCTGGTACTGCTGCTTACCCGCCCCACGTTGGTCCGCTGTCGCAGGAAAGGAGAAAGAACTCCGTCCACCGAAGACACAGGCCCCGAGCGCAGAAGTCGGAGAAACCACGCAGGCGCACACCAGTAACGCCCTCCAGGCTGCGACCATCTATAGGGCTTCGTACCCTGCAACAGAGAATCAGTAAAAATGAATTAGAAGCAAATCTGCTCTATCACTGTCATTTCAAACATGGCTGCATTTGTACAGTTTAACCTAACTACAAGCAGAATCCCAATGCATGAAGCAAACGTGAAAAAATTTATATTATTGCCGTGAGCACCGAGTGACAACCTTGTTTCCATTCCAGGCACTTCTGTATATTCCTAATATACAGAGTACCACTCTCTTTTTTAAGATATAAATGTTTTTTGCCCTTACACCTCGATATGGGTATGTCATTCTCGATTTTTACTGCATTCGGATGGTAGGTTTATTTTTTGCATTTTTTTGAAACACGTCAATGAGGTTCTACTTTGATTGTCTTATTATTGTAAAAACAGTGACTAATGCAAAAAAAAAAATAAGGGGACATTTGACGGAGCAACGACCCTCGACACAAGCTTACTGAAAAAAAAAAAATTTAACATATATACACAAACATAGCTCCTTGCATTGGCCATTCTAAGCCAATACACTCAAAATACTCGGCATAACTAGGCACTGTCATTGGAGCAGACATACGGATGGCAGAACTAAAATGTAACCAGGATAACAGGCATGAATCTGCAGATACTCATCCACTATCTTAACAAGACGACTTCTTTGTCCCTGAACGCCGATGGATTGCTGGTTAACACGCTGTGATCTTTCCTTATTTGTGAAAAAAATGTCTCCGTGATCTCTCTCAACAACCTACCAAGGCACCCGAAGAGTATGTCTGCTTAATCGAAAAGCAGCAAACTAACAATCGAGATGATGCACAGACAAATGCAAACGTGCAAAGCCTTCCAAATTCAGTACAACCCTTTGAAACATGCACAGAGCACCAGTCCTTTTCCTTAACATGAAGCATTTCTTATAAGCAGGATACTATGTTTTCATTTTCTGATCAATCCTTATTTCAGGGCAAGCACACTGGTGTCTCTAATACAGTGTCTCTTATAAAGGGGTTTGACTGTAATCCTGGTATTTCTAAGTCTCTTCGTCCACATTAGTCACTATGTTAGCCACAATAAATTTATACCAAATCAGCCAGTATTCCATCCAACATTATTATTTTATGCAGAGATTAAACTTAAAAATTTTAAGAGATTTGAACTCTCACAAACTTCCACTACTCTCCCATACTGCCAACCAACAGGAAGTGTTGCACTTAAATCACGGTAAGCCAAGTGGCAAAAGTAGACAAATCCTACAACTGTCCACAAATCCACGAAGCCAGCATCACGAACCCGGTATTCTTCGGCTGGTCGTCCTCTGTCCAGATGACAGCGATGTGGCCAGCGTCTTCGCCAGGCGACGCAGGAACTGCCGGAACGTGCCAGTCACGCATGGCGCGCAGTGCCGTCCGCAGGCTTCCCATGCTGGCTGGCGAAAGCTGGACCAGCACGCCGTCTTCCACGACGCTGTGCTTGGCTTCCCCCGGACCCTTGAGGGCCCCGCTGAACACCACGAACGACGCCCCCGTGCATTCCACGGAGCTGCCAGGGACGTGCCTGGCCAACAAAAGGACAGGCTCAACGAACAGACAACTTGCTCTCATTTAAACAGCGGAGTTATTGAAGCTTAGAGAAAACTACCTTGGTCGTGAATGATAATTATCATCAATATAAATGCAATAACCACACCGGCACGCACTTCTCTTCATCTTGTTATACCGGCTTATATGCTCTAAGTGTAGCAAAACTTTAAAAAGTACAGGTCACTACTAGCATTGTAGTGAATGCCATATCATGCTACTATTCAAAGTTGCTTCCACTGTCCTTTGAAACAAAAAGACTCACAAATTACATGCTTTGTTTCAGTTTTAAAGAATACACCAGTTCTAGTTAGCTCGGCAATGACTGATATGCCCATTTTTTTTTTACTATATGTGATATATACTATTCGAACTTGATTCAAAGTTATTATACCAAATCCCTATTCGCTTCGAATTCACTTAACACCTAACTTTACTATTCACACATGCCTAGTTTAAACACAACTATAAATAAGAGCTCCATATATATCATATCGGCATCCAGATTACAGTCACTCCGGAGATCAGTATAGATATGTTTCTGGAAACCCGACATCGGATACCATTCCGAAATGACCCACTCTCATCGGTGTTCAACGACAGCATAGTGTTAGCTAAAATTAAGGCAGACATCATCGTGGGCAAGGGGAATTCCGTGCAAACAAAAATATGCAACTTTCTGTTTCAGAGCTTAGGTGTTTACAAATATGGTAGCTGCCGATTACATTTAATTTTATTTTGCTTTTTTCAAAATGATGACAGCTCTTTTTAGATAAAGCACCTAAATGATGGATTTGCTGAATTGCAGTGAGAACCTTGTACTCCTGCCGTGAACCTCTCCATTAGTGAAAATACCTATTAAAGAAGAAGAAAGTTTTTGCTTGCACTCGTTTTTCCGGACTGCCGGATTTTCTGGACATTTTTGCGGTCCCTCGGTGGTACAGGAAATCGGACTAGGGGAAAGGTGCTCCTTGCATCGCACCTCTTCTCTGCACCGCTATAACACATGCCCACTAGAGGGCAATGATCGTAAACTTAGGGTTTATGACATGGTCATTTGGGTTTTATCAAGGGAATAGTGAGCGATTTCAGCTGACTGAAAATTAAATTTAAGTTCTAGGCTGTATGCTATGCTATAATGTTAGGCTCACTTGTTCTCAAGAGTTCTGATTACTGAACGGCACCATTTTCTGACCGTGCTAAAACATTATTGCAGGGCCCTTAAGCAGCGAGGCGAACAGTGCGGCAGGGAGCCGAGCTTTTCCAGGCAGCTTACCTGGATTGCCTGAGAGTGGTAAGTGCCCCCTTCAGGTGCCTGTACACAGACGAGGTGGGCATCTGCCTTGGGGCTCATGTTTGCCGCCAGGGCAAGCACGTGCTCGTTGCCGTCCAAGACGCGCACCAGGGCATCGTATCGGTTTCGTGGAACCCGCACCATTGTCTGCCGCCCCTCCAGGTGCACCAGAAGCCCCGACAGGTTGGCCAGCTGGTACTGGAAGTTGCGGAAATCCTAGCAGGGTGCGAGAGAAGGACGACAGGAAGGCAAAGGGAGCGCACTGAAGGCTTGAAACTTGAAAAAGTGTTCACAGTGTGGATATTTCGTGCTATACATAACTGCACATACCGCTATGTACGACTTTGCAAAGTTTTAACTTCATAGCTGCAATGAAAAGCAAACTTGATGATAAATCAAGTTAAAACTGCAAAGAAAAAAGAAAACCTAGCGCAGTCCAGTGCTTGTCCATTCTGCTTCTACTTATGTTCGGTTCTCCACATAGATTTAGCTCAGTTTATCCTCACGATTGCTTCTCAATACATTGCGAAAGTTCGTGCTTGTCCTGCCTTGCCAGTGCTTGTCCTGTCCACTTCTCATACTTATGCCTTGGCAGTTTCACCTACTTATGCCAGGGCAGTTTTAGCTCACTTTAAGTGTCCTACCAACTAGCCTCCAATGCACTTTATTTGATGATGATAAGAAAAAAATGTCTGCATTGCCTTTGGGGCTCCTGTTTTTAAAAAAAGCTGTTCACGATTACCAGCTATTTGGCAGCTTCGAGAGATTGTGTTCTGATCGGCCAAGCTATAAAGTGTGATTTGCGCCGTAGTTGAATAAGTGACAAAAGCTGAAGGAAGCCATCTGGCATTTGTAACAGCAGTCGAAGAACACAAGGTGAAGCACTGCCGTCCATCATTTACTATCGTAACTCACCAGTCACATGACGTGAGAAACTGCAAACACTTCGACGGCTTTCCTCAGAAAGTAGCGAAGCACAGAAAGCAGGAATGTAGGCAGAATTATTATTCTTTTTTTTTTGGGGGGGGGGGGGGAGGGCATTTTTTTGATTTCGGGAAGGAGGATGGGCACTACCTTGAAATGGTCATTTTTCACTCTGTATGCCACTGTGAAAACAATTTCAGGGGGAGAGGGGGGGGGGGGGGCACGGGCTTAGTGGGCCAATGCCTGGCTACGCCACTGACAGAAAGTGAAAAACAAGCTGTTGCACAATAACCTAATCAGCAGTCCACTAGGTGCAAAAGCACTGACAAGAGAAGGAACGTTTACAGTTTGCATCAAATGTCACTGGGCTGCAGGAAAAAAAAAAAAACGATGGTAATAAGGGCTAAGGAATGCAGTGGCTTAAGAACTGCAGCTTGGTATAAGAGCTGCCAATTCCACCATAATAGTACACGCAAGCATTAATGTTATGCAGGATTACCGTGTACGGTCAGAAATTACCGAAAATTCTTGTTTTCCTCTGATCACATAAAATTTTGGCGCTCACTGAACTACACGTGACAAAACACACACCTTGTCAAGAGTGCGATAAATCAAGGCTATGCAGTGCCTTTGGCAATGTCGAACATAAAATGTATAGTTAGGAAATACATAATGGCGGCATGCCCTATTGTTGCATCGGCAAAACCACGATCTATAAGTCAATCGTAGCAAAAGCGAAAATTGGGCTAATTGTTTTGGTTTGACATTAAAAAGTGCAAAAGACGAAAGACACAGGAGATGTGGTTGTGTTTGCACTGTTTCAAAATTAGTGAAATGTCACTAGTTTGACAAATGCAATCACACTACAGATTGATAAAGGTTATGTTTAGTCTTGCACTAATTTATTTATTCCATAATTTATTTATTCCACTCAAACCTCATTGTAACAAAGTCACATTTTACAGGAATATAAGTTTGTTATATTCGAAAATTTGTTATAAAGGTATATTTCTAACACTATGTCTGTTGCAAGACTATTCTCGGTTTACTTTGTTATAACTGATATTTCATTATATTTGCATTCATTATATTGTTATTTGAGTGTATTGAACAGGGAGGTAATGCAATAAAACTTGCTGTTAAAACGAATCCAGATACTTGAACTGCTGAGCAAAATTTGTGTACGACTAAGCCAGTGGTGTAGAAGAAAAGAAACACTTTAGAAAAAAAGAAACTCTTATGCGAGTTTTCAATAGCTACCAAAACTGCAAGCAGGTGAGCCTCACTCACCAGAAGGACTGTCATAATGGTGTGCCCGATTTCAGAATATACAGAGCGACGTCCACGAACGCTGACCATTGGGTATGGGTACGCTGCATGAGAACAATGAAACAGTGAATAATACCTTTGTCACACTGCACCTGCAATATCATTTCTTGTGGATGACACTAGGCCGTTAATGTCATCTTTTTTGCTTCTACACGGGCACAGCGAATGACATTCCCACCTAAAGACATTAACCCATCAAATGTGTTCACTGAACTCATAGAACAAGATCGACATCTTAAGCAAGTGTAAATCATGTTCAGATTGTTGTTAGCTCGTCGGTAAGTTTTTAACGTGCAAAACGATAGTGGAAGCCATTTGTGTTGCTATATTTTTTTCCCAGACTCTGACTTGACACATAGCGCCTCCTGTCAGCCGTGTTTACACATGCTCGCTCTTGTTCTCGTGCAGTGTCGCAGCGTTAGACTGGCCAGTACAGAATACCACGTGCATGTCCGACACCTAGTTTAGGGAAAGCGTTTTCAAACCAATTTTTCCTTTCTTGGGAAGCACAACAGTTCTCTGTCATTCGCTGATGAAGTCAAAGCCAAACAGCAATTTTTTTTTTTTGCTCGAAATGAACACAGACAAAAAGCACACAGGGCATAGATATTGAACCTAAAATCTAACTCCTTTTAAGGAAGAATTAAACTTGACTGATTCAATACAAATTAGATACTTGATTATTTGCTATTATTTACTATTAATTACTGAATGATGCAGAAAAACAAATTGCCACATTTTCTTATTAGGATGTAATATCCAGTTTCTTGAAATTGTGTTGTGTGAATTTGACACATTTTTGCACAGCCAATCGTAATTTAGACCTGAAGAGGAAAACACCAGTGCCACATGGGCCCAAGAAATGACATTCGGCATTTAAAGCACTAAGTTCCTGAATGTCATTTTTTTTTCAGCAGAGCTGCAATTTGTTTAATTACAACAGTGCTTGACCAGATGACGTCGATAACAGTTACTTTTGAAGTTCACAATTATAAACTAATAATAGAATATAAACAGCATTTTAGAACAACTCTAATTTGCGTTCACAGACAGTGAAATGTAGAACTAATAATACTATGCTGCCATTAGTTAAGTTTGCTCTCATGTTTAGAATGTTCCAATTGATCACAGTAACATTGGTCACAAGAAGTGGAATCCGAAGCCCAAAATCTCCCATGGAACCTGTCACATCAAAGCTGTTGCGATTCTGAAGTGAATTTCGCTATAGTGAAACTGGGAAATCGCATCAGTGGCAATCCAACAGACGAAAACGGTGACTTTTTGTCCACTTCCAATTCATTTCTATTGGCATCAATATGCTAGTTAATTAGCAGACTATAGCTAAAGACAACAATTAGCATCTTCTGTGCTATCCCTAGCCTGTTTGTTCAATTCTCTTCATTGAAAGGAGAAACACATACACACACAAAAAAAGACAAGCTGGTTGCCACAAAGCAATAAAGATAAGTGGACTCTCAGTAAACAAAAATCTGTTAAACGGTACTGCTACATAAATGAAACTGCCTCTGATAAACTTGTTTCATACTTGAATGCTACAACCTAAGCTCGTCTCTCTACAAACAGAACTCCTGTTGAATGAAACAGATTTTCCCGGTCCCTTAAGGTTCCATAAAATGAGAGTCTGCTGTATACAAGTTCTGTAAATATGTACGCACATAAACGAATCGAAAGCAAACCATTAGCTTTTGCAGGGGCACTCACCTTCAAATTCGGCTCCGAGCCTCAGCAGAAGCCGAAGCGGCAGTAGTCGTGCCCAGGGCAGTTCCATCCGCTGGAGCAGGACGGCGCACAGCCACGGAGGTCGGGGAAGGACAAGTCCGTCCAAGCACTGAACAAATGAGAAAGAGAAAAGTAAGAAAAAAAATAGATGCATTGATCATCTCTTCGCTGTGGATATTGATTACCTCACCAGTTCCACCCAGCATGTTGCTAGACACAATCTCCACAGTGTTAGGTTCTGCACTCGAGGTCATCAGTCATTTCACAAAAGTAAGGGCTGCCATCCTCCATGTAGCAAAAAAACAAAAACGCCCTATTTCAATTTAGGCTAGTTCTGTGTCTGATCCAAGAACTTTCAAATGTAGGAGTATGCATATATTCGAATAGTGTTTGCCATTCATTTCACACTGGAATTTTCACTATATTCGAACTTCCCGAAGACAAATACAGTCTATGTCCGATAAAAAATGACCCCTTCAAACTTTGAGCATGCTTCTTCTCATTACTCTTGCAATGTGGCAAAACTACCTTCCAGGGTCATTTACAGTCCGATTTTCTAAAGACAGATATAATGTTTCATTAAAAGTGGTCCCTTCAAATTATTAATGCTTCATCTAGTCACACACACACGTATTTCAGCAAAGCTCCCTTTCAGGCTCCGCTACGGTCGCAAATATATTGATTCAAAAAATGCTGGTTCATACATAGAGATGTGAAAGAGGTGGGGGCTCAATTAATGCTATTTTGGATCTGATATTTGGGCAGGAAGTCCAAAAAATCGGACGGCGAAAATTTTTAGCCTCCAAAACTTAAGATGTTCTTATATATTGACGTGTATGAGGCAGATTCGGAACTCCTGACTCTGAGGGAGCACACCCTTGTTCACCCCACCTGTTGGGCTTCCACAGAAGTTGAAAGAAGAGGAAAGCCTGAGGAAATGGCATCCTTGCCTTTGACGTGTAAATCTTGCCTCATTTCGCATTGGCTCGTTCCTGATAAGACAACTATGAAACACTATCCTACCACCAAACTAGCAAAAAAAAAAACACTTTCATGTTGCTATCTCATAAAAATATGCTTAGGAATTCTCTCCAACTGCTTTTTCTGCAATTGTACATCAAAGTATTCTAAAGATATTCTTGAAATATTGAGAAATATTAAAAAAATGATTCAATTGATTCGCACTCACACTTGAATATTCGAAATCACTTTACACCCCGGAATTATGCTATTCACACAGCTCTAGTCAAAAGTGCTGTCAAACACTGCCTGAATACCTGGGGCGCTGGCATGCATTCAGAAACTGTGCTGCTTCAGCCTACCCTTCAATGCTACTGACCACAAGTATGTCCCAGCTATCAGTTTTTCCTTCGTTATGTTTGTCACACTGTTTAAAAATTTCCAGAACCTTGAATAACTTCACCTGTAAATTGTGTCTGCAGTAGACTGCCATAACTCAATAACTAGATTGAGCCAAATCAATGTGAAATAGCTTGCACCTTTTTCTGCAGGCGGATGCAGAGTTCGTCAAGTGGTTGTTCCCCCCTTTAAACCAGTCCTGCCTCCTATTTTTTGTGTGAAGGGGACAATGTGACGAAGGAAAGGCGACAGAGGAACCCACCGAAAATTCTAGGCAGTTCCACCGTGTAAAAACCATCGGACAGTCAAGTTGTCGCCCTTTTTGTCAGACATTACACTTTGCTCTTAGATTTTGGCAAAGCTTTCACTTAGGACTTAGTTGTTTCCTTTTTGTTCAGGTTAAGCCATCTGGATCCTATGCACCAAATGTGCCAATTCATGGCTGCCCTGGAACATTATGATAGCATTCCAATGTGGCCGTGGCCTATTTCCCCCACTTTGCCAAAACGTGTATAGTATAATCTCAATTATCCGAATTCGAAGGGAGCATGCAAAATATTCGTATCATCTTGAATTCGTATAAAACCAAAAACAAGTTAAAGCTAATCATGAAGATGAACAAGAACTTTATGGGGGTCAACTACTTTTTGTTGAAAAGAAGTCCACGATGTTCTTTTGAACTTTCCTGCTTTCATCACCTCTCAATAAAGTGCCGCGGTTTCCTCGCTCATGCTGCTGGCACTAAGGCGCATTCACACTTGGCACCAAAGGGACGGAAAGCAGCAAAACGTATTGGAAGTTCACTCGCTTTGTCACTTAAGGGGGGACACGGGTCTTAGAAGGCCAAAAATCGCAAAAAAATCGACTTTTTGAAGCTGACATTTTCGAAATCTGCGCCTATTTTTGCATTTATCTGAGAAGTTTCTAGCTTTTCGGGTCATTATTTCTGGCGCAAAATCAATTTATAACATCCCTGTGAGACGAATGTGAGCGCAAATTGACGCTAAAATCGCGCTTTTTCTGCGCCAAACTGTTGCCATTACACACGAGCTATCGTGTTCATCTAGGTCTCGTTTGGAAGGGTCGTTCTTCATCTTCAATTTCCCGCCACCGCTCGCTCACCTTGCTCATTGATTTTTTAGCAAAAACGCGTCATCGAGAAGCACTAGCGCGCGATTCAATTGGCTGCTTGGGGCACGTGACCAAATTTAGGCATCCGATTGGCCAAGGGGCGCTTTCGGCGTCTGCTTCACCATCGCGACGCGCACGGACATGCGCCATTTTGTCATGGTGCTACTGACTGCTTGATGATTGATTGATATGTGGGGTTTAACATCCCAAAACCAACATATGATTATGAGAGATGCCATAGTGGAGGGTTCCGGAAATTTTGACCACCTGGGGTTCTTTAACGTGCACCCAAATCTGAGCACACGGGCCTACAACATTTCCGCCTCCATCGGAAATGCAACCGCCGCAGCCGGGATTCGAACCCACGACCTGCGGGTTAGCAGCCGAGTACCTTAGACACTTAGACCACCGCGGCGGGGCTACTGACTGCTTGCTGCAGTAAAGAAGTTCCGTGCTACAGTAATTTGTGAAGCGGGTGTGGCGGTCGTTCGTTCGCTGTGAACTTCGAAAAGATCCCCGCTATGGCTCAGGACAACGAGGATAACGAACTCGATGCGGTCAACGGCGGTCGCCGAGTCACCGGTGTAGGCCTAACTCACGTACGAGCCCGTTGGTTGCCGACAACTTTACTGAGAACGGCTGTGTTTTGCAGCCTCATCAGTTAGAGGACGGAAAGTATAAAAAGCAGAAGTGAAGCTACCAGAGATATCAATCTTTGTAGTAACGGAACGGAAGAGCAGTCTTATTGCTAAACCCGCCGATGTTGTGGTTCCCCCGCCTGACGAAAGGATCTTGAACTGCGCGACGGGTCGTCAGAGTGGAGTACGCCGCGCGTCGACCAACAACCGAAAGTCAATCCGTTCGCAGTGAACTTGCTCGCGGCCCTCGCAATGGAGGCTACTGGCAACAGGTAGACTGCTTTTAACGACGTGTTCGCAATGTTGTCGCGATTTCCGCTCGAAAATGCGACAGTCGTACGTGAAAAGGAAACTAACACCTCGGCACTCGTGTAGCCTCGAAATTGATGAGCGAGGGAGCAACTTTGATTCGCGACACTTACGGGTAACTTATGTAGATAAACCTCGTTGCTAGCATAAAAAAAGGCTACATCACCCAGAATAACTAGACAGCATCGACAATTGTGCACGCACCTGTCCCATGTGGGGCAGCAGGAGGAATCCACCATGGTCACTGCTGCCGAGCACTCCTTCGGGAAAGGGCAGGCACTGGAACGCCCCCACGGTCGGCGGCGTTGTCACTCCGGGGGGCACCACTCCCACCGGCCGGTGGCCGCCCGTGGCGCCGATGCCTTGAAGGGTTGCAAAGAGCCGCAGGGCGTCCCGCGGGAGCTGCGATTCCCCCGGATTTCGCTCCAGCAGGAACACCACCTCGTCCAGGCCCAGGGCACACAGGCCGCGGCTGCTGAAGTTCCAGCACTGCCGCTTCCTGCCACACTCCACTGGACATGAAAAGAAATGGGAAGTTAAGAAACGATGAAGCGAAAAGCGCCGCCGACAGAGCTGCGTGCCTCAGTGAGCCGTCATGCCTACTGCAGAGCAAGCTGCGACTCATTTTCGAGATGTTTGCACTGTGCCGCCGCCATCGTCATTGCTGTCACATGGTTCGCAAGAGCACTGGGGCTAGTGGAGAATGGCGACGCTGACGATGATGCTAAGTGATCATGATGATGCCTATGCTATTGCTTCCAAATGCATGCGCTCAGGTGCTGACAGGTTTGCTGTATGAGTTTTCATCGCGTGGACTATGCTAGGATGTTTTTTTTTTTATTTAGCTAATAAGTCTTGAATTTATTTTTTCAAGCTCTTGTGTGCCTGCTAAAGCAGATCTCACTATTACCACAAGGTATCACTATTTGCTTTATAACCTTGAGACCTCCTTCTGCACATTTTCCTGTGCATCGCTAATAATTTATTGGCTGACCCATGACACTTGAACTGTAACACCACCTAAACTACTGGCGCAATGAGATGGAGGTCATAAGCACATCTGTGCACTGCAGCATCACAATGATGCATTGTCATAATGATGAGCAATGAATCGCAAGCACCGAGGCAACAAGCTCCATATTGTTGCTACTGCAAAATATGTCGAACTTAAAAAAATTTCCATGCAAAAATTTTTGAGAATGACACTTGTAAAGTAAAGTTTTTTCATAATGAAAGCTTTTTATCTTAACAAGCAAGGACTCGACTTTTTTCAGGCATATTGATTGCACAGTATTGAAGTGTTACAAAAATTTTGCCCATCGTTACACAAAAATTACATGACACTAATGCCATTCACTTCAACTTTCTTACAGAAAAAAAGGTGAAAGCGCAAGCTTAGAAGGTTGGCAATCTGCTGTCTTATCTTTTACAATACACACCATACCTTACCCACCTGGAGGTCCAAATTTATAGGTGGTGTTGTAGTTGTGCACGAGTCTTCGACAAACATGTTCCAAATTTTGCAAACACTGCCACAATAGCAAAGTTACATGCAGGTGATGATATAAATAAGGCCCTCGCTCGTTTTGCTCTTTCTTTCACCGCATTCCGTTGGGCGGCTTGTCTCTCCTTGTGTCCGAGTGGTTGTTGCCATGCGAAGAAGAGTGGTGAGCATGCATACGTGCGAGCAGACAGACACGTTCTTCTTATGAATGACGTGTCAAGGCGTGAATGGTGACATCACATCCAAACCTGATTGATTGATTTGTGGGGTTTAACGTCCCAAAACCACCATATGATTATGAGAGACGCCCATCCAAACCTGGGGATACCGAAAGGCTCTGAAGAGTACAAGGGACTGTTACCACTTGCCATACATCCATGGCTTGTAGCGCTTCTGCGTTTTGCGCTGTTGATCATGGCGGCATTCTGAACTAAACGTGCACGTTCACTTGAAATGCTAGCAGAATTATCGTAAGTGGTTTAGTTAAGAAGTGCTGCTTTGCGGGCAGGATACAGTAAGCAATGTACAGCAGCATACTGTCAGCACCAACGGTATGAATGCTGCCTACCTGTGACAATCTTGACCAGCACGTGCAAGTTCCTGGTAAGTGCAAATGCCACAGGCTCCACATTGGGATCTAAAAAAAAATCAAAGAGAATGACCGCACACCATTTCATTTCAAGCACTATGTAACAGAGATTCAGTCAATGGGCTTATCAGGCCGATTGCATCGGCAAGATGCGTATGCAAGTGCAAAAGCTTAACCAGCCCACTTATACAGCACAAATTCTATCACAGGCTAGATTTCTTGAATGATTATTTTCCACAATTAAAGTATTAAGAACTAATCATAATAAAAAAATAGATACTACCCTTGCAACAGTTCATCTAACCAGTACACATCCATTCATTCTGCTGTGGTAAACTTAATGAGCCTCAATCATTTTGAATCTTAATACTGGGCTGAAAATGCAGATTATTTAGCTTGCTCCTAGCAACGAAGGCTTTTTTAAGCCCACAAGTGAATAAAGTGAAGGCACCGTAAAGCCTATTTTCTAAAAAAACTCATCAACTGGCATTTCATTAGGCAACAATAGGTTGTTCAACTATGCATTGCGACACACTCGTTTCGATACGTTTCACTGCCAATGAGTAGCCGAGGCAAACCTGAGACTGATATTATTAATAAAACTTATTTTCATCATGATCAGTGCTCCAAGCAATGCCCTGCCCACTTTACCACCAGGAGTGCACTGGCATGAATGCTAGTTGGTAAGCAAATATTAAAATTAGGTGAAAGGAATGTTGTGTTATGAAGCTCGACGCGTGTAAAAAATGAACAATCTACTCATCACAGCATTTCAAAAGTTTACTTGCCATATTACTGCAAAATAAGCTTGTACAGGGCAATCAAGAATTATCGCTTCCTATGTAAAATACAAAGCAAATATTGCAAGTGTTCGTTCTGGCTTACCTTGGAGTACAATCATTAGGTCATTCTCATTTTCAAGCTTCAGATCTCGCTGTGACACTGCAAATCGACAATACGTTATTACTGCTAAGCTTCAAAAGTTGTCTGCGAATAAGAAGATTAAAGATTACCATCAGGCTTAACACTTCTTTACTGCTACGTGTAGATGCGGCATTACAGTGCAGAAAAAGAGAATAAAACGGTTATTAGATTTCCTGCGTGACTGCAGAAAACGGCAGTGTTGATAGTGCAAGATGTTTATGGTGTGGTAACTGGGTTCTCCAGTACATCTTGAGATAATTATCAAAGCACAAATAAACATGACAAGAAGTGAATGCAAAACAATGCAAAGAGGCACATAGCTTCCAACAACGACATGAATTGTCCACGCGCACACGCGTGATCACACTGAAAAAGTCGCATATTCGAAGAAGAAAAAAAAAAGTGCTCAATGTCACGAGGCACATGATAAATTTTCGTTGTCCATGCTATCCCTCCCTGCTTCGCTTCTAGTGCTTTCGTCGAGACGAGAGAATACGATTACATTGTGCGATAAATCTTTGCAACTCCGCTCGCACTGGACAGATGGTTAAAATTTTTGCGGCGTTGAATTCGTGAGGCAATAAGCTCATTTCGTGACTCGATTCCATGGTTCCTTGCAAAAGTGTTTCAGGGCCCCTTTAAGGTTACAAGAAATGGTCTTTCATTGTCAAAGTGACACCAAACACCGCACTTTCTCGGATATAACTTGCCTCTGCATATAGCCTGCCCCCCTAACTATATCTACATAAAAAGTGCATCTAGCCTCTAGCACATAACCCGCTCGCCCACTTTTTAAGCAAATCTTCTCATTTTTCGGTGTTGATTATATTCATGAAAACGTTGCACATACATTGCATCTTACAGCAATATATACTCGTGCACATCAAGACACATTACTAATGTTTCGGTGTACACTAGCGCACAGAGTACATGATACTGTGGGCATTTGTAACTTACATCGTCCTCATCCTTTCATAATCACAATCACCATCATCCGCTTGTCTCTTTGCCCTCATTGCCACTCTGGGTCATCATCATCGTCTTCGTCTGTGCGCTGGCTCTGCCCGTTCGTTTTGCGAGGTCTTTCCTCAAATAAACGCTGTCGCAGCCAAGACTACCAAGACTTCATACGTGGTGGAGGTGCTGGGTACTGGCAGATCCCCATGCATGAAGACGATAAGGAGAAAACGGCATTCGCAACCCCCGACGGGCTATATGAATTCAACGTGATGCCTTTCGGGCTCTGCAACGCACCCGCGACTTTTGAGCGCATGATAGATACCGTGCTGCGTGGCCTGAAATGGAAAAGTTGCCTATGCTACCTGAACGACATTATTATATTTTCGTCAACGTTTCCTGAGCACCTAGAACGATTGGATCAAGTTTTGACGTGCCTTGCGGGCGCCGGGCTTCAAATAAACACGAAGAAATGCTCTTTCGCTAGCAAATCTATCAAGGTCTTAGGACACGTCGTTAGCAAAGATGGCATCCGGCCCGACCCTGACAAGATTTCTGCAGTCCTTCACTTTCCGCGCCCCGAAAAACCAAAGGAGCTTCGCAGTTTCCTTGGCCTCGCCTCCTACTTTCGCCGGTTTATCCAGAACTTCGCTTCTATTGCTGCTCCATTACACTAACTACTTGCTTCCAACGTCCCCTTTCTGTGGTCTCAAGAATGTCAAACGGCATTCGACCTGTTGAAGCGGGCACTCACGTCTGAATCTCTGCTCTGCCACTTTGACGAAGCCGCACCAACTATCCTCCATACTGACGCTAGTGGCCTTGGTATAGGAGCCGTTCTTCTACAACGCGACAAGTCTTCCCTAGAAAAAGTTGTTGCATATGCCAGTCGCGTACTCACCGCTGCTGAAAAGAACTACACTATAACTGAGCAAGAGTGTTTGGCTGTGGTTTGGTCGGTCCAGAAGTTCCGTCCCTATCTCCACGGCCGTCACTTCACAATCGTTACGGACCACCATGCCTTATGCTGGCTTTCTACACTGAAGAACTTGTCCGGACGCTTGGGTCGGTGGATACTACGCTTACAGGAGTACGACTTTGACATAACCTACAAGTCAGGCAGAAAACATAAAGACGCCGATGCTTTATCTCCTTGCCCGCTTCCAACTACCCATAAGAGCGTTGGTGAGAACTCAACCGCCACATCTACCAAAGTTCATACGCTCGCATCAATAACGCAACCCTGTTCGGACGACGAGCCAACATTTATCTCCCGCCAGTGGTCCGATTCATACTGCAGACGCATGATGGACCACCTTTCGGGAGTTTCTCATCCACCAAACGCGCGACTCCGTCGTCAACTCCTGCACTTTAAGCTGGACAATGGGGTTGTCTACCGCCACGTCTACCACCCTGACGGTCAGCGCTGGGTTCCTGTACTGCCACGCTCTCTTCGACTTCAGGTGCTCGAAGCCTTCCACGACGACTTGACTGCTGGTCATCTTGGTTTTAAAAAAACTCTTGACCGCATTCGATGTCGTTATTACTGGCCTGGCCTTTCTTCTAGTGTAGCTCGGTACGTCGGTTCCTGCTACCCATGCCAGCGTCGTAAACTCCCCACGTCGGCACCTGCTGGACCTCTACAGCCACTTCCGTGCCCTTCAATGCCGTTAGAGGTTGTAGGTGTTGACCTTTACGGGCCTCTCCCCGTCACATCTGCTGGCAAACGATGGATAGTGACTGCCGTGGACCACCTGACATGCTACGCTGAGACTTCCTCTGTTATTACAGGCTCAGCTGTGGAAGTTGCAGAATTTATTCTTCACGCAATAATACTGCGTCATGGGGCTCCTCGTGTACTGCTTAGTGACCGCGGCAAAGTGTTCCTGTCACAAGTTGTAAATGAAGTACTGCGCGCTTCTGGAACTACTCACAAGACAGCTTCAAGCTACCACCCTCAGACAAATGGTCTCACAGAAAGATTTCACCGAACCCTTGCAGACATGATAGCCGTTTACGTCCAACCCGACCACGAAAACTGGGATACTCTTTTACCATTCCTGACATTCGATTACAACACCGCCGTTCAGCGAACAACTTGCTACTCACCGTTTTACCTCGTGTACGGACGCACCCCGACTACCTTTCTCGACGTCTCCTTCTTTAGCAGCCATGGGAATTCATGTCAGTCTTCTAGCGAAGAATACATTTCCCGCCTGGCCCAGTCTCGCCATCAGGCTCGCATCAATACTGAAGCGAGACAGCACGAGCGGAAGATCATCTATGACGAATCCCACCGCGTTGTGTCTTTCCAACCTGGTGACGAGGTGCCGCTTTTGACACCTATTCGCACTCCTGGTCTCTGTGACAAATTCCAACCACGCTTCATCGGGCCATACATTGTTTTAGAACAGACTTCGCCGGTTAATTATCGTGTGACACCACTCGTTGCCCCAACAGACCGCCGACAGAGATTGTCCACGTTTGTCGCATGAAACCTTTCACGCGACGTTCCCCGTCACTTTGACTTACGGCGGCTAGGATGTCCGCTTCCAAGTGGGGGGAATTAGTGTGGGCATTTGTAACTTACATCGTCCTCATCCTTTCGTAATCACAATCACCATCATCCGCTTGTCTCTTCGCCCTCATTGCCACTCTGGGTCATCATCATCGTCTTCGTCTGTGCGCTGGCTCTGCCCGTTCGTTTTGCGAGGTCTTTCCTCAAATAAACGCTGTCGCAGCCAAGACTACCAAGACTTCATAATACATATAGCCGAGCATATATTACCAAGTCATGTGTAGTACTTTTTAGAGTATGCAACAAGTTTTGTGTTCCACAGCCCAATTAAAAAACACTTTCTGTACATTCCACTCTTCATCCCAAACGAAAGCAGGTGTAATCAGTGATCATCAGTTCTATACCCCAGCAACGAATGCACAGGCCTCACCGCTGAGTGCCACAGGCGGTAGGGAGCCCTCAATGTCTGACAGCACCACTCGACGTTCTTGAAGCAGGCTTTCGGCAGGCCCATCCCGGCAGCCCAGCTCCCGAGGTGGGGCCGGCATCGCCGAAGGCATCACTTCATCAGACAAGTCACCGCCGGGTCGTATTCCATCTGAGAACATCACCTGCAAACCGGGCATTAGTACGAAGTAGCACTTGTCAAATGTTTAGCAAAATAAACATTGTGCAGAAATACGGTGGACTATTAGACAAGCTAATGCACACCTGCACATGCAGTGAAGGGATTTCGATGACATAACTCATGACATGACGTTGCTCAAATGTGCATTGACGTCAAATATGAAGTGACGGCACAAGCATTCAGGCTGTGCCAAAAAGAAAAAAGAAAGGTGATGACAATGACAATTAGGTCCCATCCAACACAAAGATACTTTCATTAAGTGTATCAAATAAGACCTGCCAAATTGAAACCAAAAAATAATTTACCCGGCTTTTACTTCTCTTCTTCACTGGAGAAAACACCAGGAACATCTTTCTCATATTTCGTCCTATGACACATCTCCTCACAAATAGGAGTCGGCTGCTCATTACGATACGATGTCACGGGCCACTACATATGTCTTTAAGTCAAATAACACGACCAGCGCCTCTTGCTAGGCAACTAGACAACAACTCATGCGCAACCCTAAGTCTTATGAAAAATTTGTTAACAGGTGGTGTGCTGGAGCTGGCATATAGACAGGTGCACTAGTCTTCTTCAGGCCTGCAACCAGAGATGACAAGCCCGCTTGTCAAACGTTGGCTCTAGCACACTACCCGTTTACAAATTTTTCGTCCCAAGCTTCTATCTTTCCCCAAACTAATGACTTTTTTGACTAGTCCCACGTGACCTGGTGCAGCACATGGTAGGGACCGTTTCGACAGGACAGAAGCTTCTCTGAGAGGCCAATGAATAGGCACAGGGTGCACAGTACACAGGAGGACTCAAACATTTTATGTGGCGCCAGTCACACAGAGACTACCAAGATTCCCACAACAATAGTGAAAGAAAGTGTAAATCTGAGGGCTAGTTTTCTTCTTCAGGCACAATATTATTGAGAACTAAAGTCGAATCCCGCTACAACGAAACTGACGAGGCTTGGAAAAAATTTCGTTGGAAGGGAAAATTTTGTTGTAGTGAAACCAAAATAAATATAGCTGATCTGAGCTAGCAAAGCAATGGAACCTTTATTCTCAAAATTAAAAAAAATGTCCGCTGCTTCCTATTCTTTTCCAGCAGCGTCACGACGCGATTGTCACCCATGCATAGCAAGGCCATGGTGAAAATCACGCTGAAACAACGCCTAAAACTGCTTTCGAGAATGAACCAAACAGTTGCAATAACACGTTACGTTAACACCAGCACCTGTCCACTGTCAAAAGTATCCGACAACGCCGAGATGGAGGCAGGGTTTCATGGAGCAGCGACTTTTGCATTATTCTATGCTATTCTTATCATCCATCACTAGCGGCTAGCTGATTTTGTTGATAATGCTGACAACCAGCCACTCTAATTAGTAACCACACTGGCCAAGCGCAAACACAGTGATAAGCATCGGAATCGGAAAAGGCATCGTGCCGCGGTTGCACCCAGCAGCTGCGACAAGGAAACCATGAACCTTGGCGGAAGCCATGAACTAAGCGACTGAGCTTCAGCTTCAGCTTCGAATCGTCTGCGGCTCAAAAGCAAGCCAGTGTCAAAACAAAAGCAGGGCAGTCTCATTGCCATCACTATCGAGCAATGATGGCACCCACGCTTGCTGAACAGCGGCGGTATAGCAGTGGTTTCTGGTGGTGCCAACGCGTGTTTTAGACTTCATTGATGCATTTTCAGGCTCTGAAAAAGCATAGGAATGTTGAAGATTTAGTTTACTGCATAGAAATAAGCATCTGAGCCTGGAATTGCATCGTAAAATTTTGTTGAAGCGGGACGATCGAAGAAAAAGTGTTCATTGTGGTGATAATATTTATGCTTTGACTCCTATGAACTGTTGACGGGGAATCGTGAATTTTTTGTTGCAGCGAAAATATCGTTGAAGCGCCGTTCGTTGCAGCAAAGTTCGACTGTAATACACAATAGTGTTAGAGAAAGTATAGAGGGTGTTATTAGAAATAATTTTAATGTAAATGTGAAGAAAAAAAATGGACGAAAAGATAATTTGCCACCAACAGGATCAAAACCTGCGACCTTCGAATAATGCGTCCGATGCTCTACCACTGAGCTACGATAGCGGTCATCCCACCGTTTACTTTAGAGGTTATATATATGAACTTAAACATGAGGGCTTCAGTCAGCGCCACCTGGATACCAGGACCCCTAAGCTGTGATCTCTATCCATGATTATTGTGCTGGTAGCCCATTATAGAAGGAACAGCACACAATATTGAAGCTTAATATATGCACTGTGATTATAGCTCCACCAGAGACCTTTTAGCATTTGAAAAAGACACTCTTTGCTAGCTGCAAGTGCATCAGACTATAGACCTAGACTACAAGCGCTGCACAAAGTTATACCTAGCAACGCCGGGTACGGGACGTTGAAGAACTTTCCTGCTCACACTCTGAATTCGAATCTCTGGCTCCTACTTGGCTACTGTGTCATGACAGCAGCATCAATTGGGGCCGCCCACCGGCAGTGATATACGAAACACATATAATTACTATCACTAAGCTTACTAAGCTAAGTTCACTAAGCTTCGACCTCTCAGCTAAGTGGACAAGGCTTGCGTGTGGAAGCTGAAACGTCTTTTATTATATTTTTTACAGCTTCTTGGTCGGCTTTCTGTCTTCTTCTAACAATGCCCTTACTTTCTGACCAGACAAGATTTCATCCAATTCTCGACTTCAATTTAGATTTTCTTGATATCTTGCACATGCCATCGTGTGCTGTTCCTTCTGGAATGGGATACCAGCACGATAATCATAGACATGCGCATTTTGTGAGCCCATGATTATTGTTCCAGCGTGCTGGTCACCTAAAAGGAAATGCATAAAAAATATACATAAAAACTAGAATATTGCAAGTGTCTAGGAACGACAATGCTGTACAGAAATAAACAGACACGAGCTGGTTGACTCGCTGCTAATTTGTGTCTCTCGTCGTGTCCTCCTCTTTGCACTCTCTTTTGCCCAAAACATATCAGCGGGACACATGCTTCTGCTGACTGACCTGCTTGGGGGCCTCTCCATCTGGCCGCGGTCCCCGTCGTAGCACGGGAACAAGGACCGTGAGGGGTGGGGACTGCGCTGCTCCATGCAGTGGGGGTGGTCCCCTTGAACAGTAGGCCGCTGGATTGGCTGGGCTTGGACCGCCAAGCCGCTCGACAGCAGCCACTGCGGATGTCCACGAGCACGCATTGTTAATGTGGTCAAATACCAGTTCCCCAGAGTTGTCATCTTTGAGACAAAATTTAAAATGAATGTAAGACTGCTAGAAGCTAATCATATCATATCATGTATAGAATAAAGCCATGTCTCAAGTTCCTGTAAATTATTCCAATTCTGGCACTAAATGCATAAGTGGAGTATCGAAAATAAATGTAAATTTTTTGCATGCATGGGCCTTCATGGGAAAGTAAATGATTGCTGCACCGCTGGTGTAGTCCAGCTCCAACAGTGAAGTAGCCTGCTGAACTTCATAAGGTCATAAGGTCCCGCAGATCGCGGGATCGAATCCCGGCTGCGGTGGCTGCATTTCCTATGGAGGCAGAAATGTTATAGGCCGTGTGCTCAGATTTGGGTGCACGTTAAAGAACCCCAGGTGGTCGAAATTTCCGGAGCCCTCCACTACAGCGTCTCTCATAATCATATGGTGGTTTTGGGATGTTAAACCCCACATATAAATCAACTTTATAAGGTCTCGTGCCATGCCCATTACGATAAAGTACTGTTGCACCAATTAATTGCTTATCTTGATGCATTTCAAGGTATTTGCGGACTACACCTAAACCACTTAAATGATCCCAGATATAATAATCCCTTGGCTCTAACAATCATACTTTGGTGCACCTGTTATTCTCCTATGCTACCCATTGAAACCGCACCCACATGTAGTGAACATTTAAACATTTTTCAAAGCCTGTTTTTACAACGAACACTGCTGACTTGGTCATGGTAAAAATATGGTGCATACAAAGCAAGGAAAACAAAAAAGAGAATTTAGGACAGGCATCTGAAAGCATGAGAAAGGTGCATGCTCGAGCGTGCCCTGCTGCAGTCTACTTGCAACGAAGATATCGTAGACCGCAGTGAGCCCCGCAAGCACATTTGGGACGCTGCGAGCGAGATCGCTGCATTTACAGGCATTTCTTAAATGGCAGAATAGCAATGATGAAAGAAAGGGGAAAGGGGGGACCTTTTATTGGAAGACCGTAGGCGGCAACATTGGCCGCCGCAATCAGCTGTATGTGTGTTTTTGCAATGTGTCGAAATTCGCTCGGCCATCTCGCTCTCTGTGTGGGCTTTTACAAAGTGCCTTCAGAGCAAATGTTCACTGGCAGGTCTAGAAGTGCGGAAACAATGGTAAAAATGGTGGTGTAGTGATAAGGATGAAGTAAGTCGCACCCGAACCCTTCTTCCTTGACATGTTTGTGATGACCTCCCGTTGTGCATAATGGCTCTTCTGTCCTCTCGAAACCCCACATTCTTATGGGCCCCCAGTTGCCATCTGCAATCTCGCAAATGCTTCCCGAGTGATTTGTCGATTTGAACACGAATGGAATCGCACGTTATTCCTTATGAATTTAGTCAAACTTCAATACTGCAAATGAGTCGTTAGCATGTTGAAAGTGATACGCCTCCGCTTCTGTGTTGTGTATGGGCAGTATTTTTCAGACTTACTGTGCCCAGAGGCATACTGAAGTAGTAGATGTAGCCAATTCACCAGTAGACGTCGTACTGCATACTGTCAAAGTACGAAGACACTATGCAATGAGAAAGACAGGGTGTTCCAACTCTACTAATTTGAAAACCGGTGATGGGGTGAAGCATGCAGTGTGCGCCAATGGTAACCCATAGAAAAACCTTTTACTCTTTACAGCTTTACTCGCCAGCGGTCTATCAACGCACCATAACTTTGCAAATATGTTTCAAGAAGTGGCATTTCAAATAGATGGCTTTACCGCAAAGATACATGTTTGTTCCTCTCGTTTTAGATAAGAAACTTGAGCGTTTTGGTAAATTTCGTTGGGTATCCTGGCACCACTGCCAAGCCAAACAAAATGTTTTAGGCAGTAATAATGAACCTCTAACTTATAATACGCATAGCATGAACCTGACTGCTTTACTCACCACTGGTCCACTAACACACCACCACTTAACAGATATGTTTCAAGGAGTACTGTTCAAAATCGATTACTTTCCCACAGAGATGCACATTTGTGTCTCTGGTCTCGGACAAAAAACTTGAGAGCCTTGGTAAATTTTGTTGGGAATCCTGATGCTGCTGCTATGCTAAAGAATGTTTTCAACAGTAACAACAAACTGTTTAACTCATGAAATATGCATAGTACAGACCGGATGCATAGTATAGAACAGTGGCGAGCAGTGGGATTTAAACAATTTTGTGGTTCACTCCTTCTTATAATAGACCGTGACGACATAATGCCAGCAAGCCAAGACACTTAGGTGCTTCGGCCCTAAAATAAACGGGTGGCAGCATAAAGACCAGCCGTCAGCTCTCATACGGCAAGCTTTTCTTGTGCTGTTCTCTGCATTTACGGCCACCGCCAATAAATCAATAAATGCCCTCAAACGCAACAAGCCATAACTTCTAGAAGTGATAACTTTTCGTCACATAAAGACGACTAAGACGCTCAACTCACCGACGCCACAATGTGCAGCAAAAGGTCTTTTGCATTTCAGTATTGGCAGAGACTCATCGATTACTGATAATGACTTCCGCCCAGTTGCGACACGCTGCTGTTGCGAAAAAGCATCAGAAAAGAGCAAAGGCTAGGTGGCGGCTGGCTGTGAATGTTCCATTTTGATTAATCGCTGACAATCTCATTTCAGCCATCTGAAGATATCTCTTCGACTGCGCTTGTGGTTTGAACGGCGTGGAGTGACGGCGGTACAAGCAGGTCGTGCTGCCGTCTGCAAGTTTTCTGCCGCCGCATCGTGAGAGGCCGCTCACTTGAGCGTTGCTTGCAAAGTTCCTGTTTTCATCGTGTTGAACGAACAGACAACTTGCCGCACCAATGCACAATCACGGGTAAAGCATGCACTAAGAATGTGCAAATGCGCGCATACATTAAACAATGAACGTCCTGGCATGTGACGGCGAGAACCGAGTGGGCAACGCGCTGCACGCAACTAGACAGGAATGGTGGGTTCCCCGTGGTGGCACGGCACTTCAGTGAAACAGCGTCAGTTTATTGCAAAGGTGTTTTAATTTACTCGTGAGCACGCAGCGGGCATCGCTTAACACCTGAAAAGGCCTATCGTGTCACCGGACGGGTTGTGTGCAGTTATTAATAATTATGTGCTCAAAAAAATAATGGTTTGGTCGCTAAGTGCACGTTTTTAAGGGCGAGACTATATACAACGAACTACTGATATAACAGTCACTTACGACGGCACTTTCGCATTCGTTATCAATGAATTAGACTGTATTCATATTTACAAATACTAGACATACAATTTTAATACCAATTCAGATATCATACTATTCGATTCAATATTTGAAGCTGCTGAACATTTGAACACGTCTATTAAATATATCTCCCAGCAGTGCCCTAGAGGCCCATAGGAGTTGAAATTTAGACAGGAGTGTTGCCAGAAATTTCTTTGGGGTAAAGGGAGGTACATTTTCATGTTCCGCTGGCCATGCCGATGTTGAAAGGGATATTCACGAGGCAGGTTATATTGCAATAATGTGAGATGTGTAACGTGAAGTGGACATGCAAGACAACCACAATTCAGACTAATTGCAACACACAGTCAACAAGCAAAGACCAGGTTGTTATTTAGTAATTGTTAATAGCTTCCCATACTTATCATTCCTGTTGTCTTCCATGTCGCATTGTTGCATGAAAGAAGTGTAGTCAAAGCTGGTAAAATTCGCTAATAGGCCCAAATACTTCAGGTGAGACACCCTAGCCACCGTTAAGTGGCAGTGACCCTCTAGTACCTAAATCATTTACTGAAGAAGTTACTGAGCATCATCTGAGTCACAAAGATATGTTCTGTTTCTTATTGTAATCATTCCTCTGCTTTTGGCTTCCGAGAAGTGAGATGATCAACTCAATGCATAGATCTTGCGATTGGGTGTGCATTGCTTTTTTATTTTTAGCTAGCAAATATGGCAGGAATATTAAATTTGGTGGTGCATTAAAATAGGACCAATGCTACAGAATGAAGCAGTGATGGTCAAGATATGTTTATTATAGCACAAAAATACATAATCTAAACAAAACAATACTTGAGATGAAAATGAGCGGTTGAATAATGATTGTCACTGGAGCGAATGTTAAAACAAGTTCTCTTGTTGAAACGTCCGCTTTAGTGGCACACCTTGCTTGACAACTCATCCCCTCCTCAAGTGCAGTCCATGCTACCCCAACAGGAAACTAAAAATGGAAGGCCAAAAGAATGAGACTTCCTTACCCCTCTGTAGAATGGTGAGGCAGGGAAGGCAAACACGGCCTTCCCGGTTCTCCAGGCAGGGAAGTGGTGCCTTCTGGTTGCAACACGAGGAACACAGCACCTGTACACAAAAACTTCATTCTAAGACTATACCTGACATAGACAACCAGCCAAAATGAAGCTCCCATTAGCCAAATCGTTAACAAGTCTTCAAGTTCTACAGTGGCAAATCATCAGGACCTTTTTTTTACTTTTATATTGTTTGGTTTGTAAAAGCTTACTGTTTGACAGACAACATGAGAAGTGTGAAGAACCAGTATGCAACAGAACACTTGTGCTACATGACTACAAAATTAAAATGTGCTCCAAATAAGCAACAGGAGACGTGTGGATCCCATCATTTGAATGATCACCAACATCACTGGAATCATTAAAAAGAACAATAACAATAATAATAACACACCAGATGCAATAATATGTAACTCTATTTGCCTGAATTTATTGATTCCATATGTATGTTTTGCTTTAAAGGACATTCTAAATAACAAAGAGGGTGCTGCTTTATGCCAGCCAAATTTCGAAAACAAAATAAATAATGGTAAACAAAGAATAAAACAGCTGCATTTTAACCCAAACCCATTCCCAGCATTACACGTTCACATTGTCAAAGAACTAGACCTGAACTCTTCCTGATGAACGCATAGGTGCTTTTTTGTGAGCACAAACATATTTCCAACCTGCACTTGAATTCATATTAAAGTATTTGGACATAATGTTTATGTATTCAAGACACAGTTCTTATGTTCTTGGGATGAGTGGTTCCACATAGGCAATATTCTGTTACACATGTTATCCATGTTCACCAATTGTAGGTTTGTTTATTGTAAGCTATGCTGAACATGAGTTTGTAAGCACACCTGTCCGTTGCTGGTTCCTTTTTGCTTTCTATTAAAAAAAAACATTTTGTACAAGACTGTTCTACAGTTCACAGTGATAAACAGTCAGCCTTTTCACCAAAAAGCCGGCTACTAAATATATATGGACATCACAAATTTTTACCCTTGCCTGGCAGAGTGCACTGCTTCTACAGTGATTCCCAAGGCATAAAGTGATTGCTTAAAAAAAAAGAAAAACATCACAAGCACTTCTATACCAGAGCTGCACCCCCTAAAGTCACTGTCATATTATCTGCAACACAGCTTGGAAAAAAGCCTCTCTTAATTTCTTTCTTTTTCTAACATGAAAAAAAAGAAAAAAAAAACTTCTCTGTTTCCTTTGTTAGAAAAAAAGAGTTTTATCCATAACATAGCAGCTACTCTTGTATTGTTCCTATCCGAAACCTGGAGATCCTTTAAGCACAAACTGTGAATACCCGCAGCGTTGTGAAAGATTACTGAACCCAAAACTATCCTTTCAAGGTGCACTGGCTTTATCCCTATCAATTCTGAAACAATGCCACATTCTTTGTAACCTGCATGAGTGTCAAAACGATACAGCTGATAAAATGTGCTCTCCAGAATCTATACAACTTGCCACATCAAGTCCCCCAAGGAATAAACCAAATGCTGCGCCAATCAGAACCTCTAAAATTGACAGTCTCATCTCATGAAGCCTTCACAACCCAAAGCAATGACAAAGTTAAATCCCAGTAAAGACAAACTGAGATAAGCATGTCATACAAGAATGAAGGACACACAACGAAGTCGTTTAGTGAACCTCTTCACAGACTACACAGTGGAGACTAATAGAGCAGCTTCTAAAGTGAAGATTCTTAGACCCTGGCTATATTTGATGACAACACAGGGACAGACTGTGTGCGTGAAGCGTGCTCACAGCCTCCCTCTTTTATTTTCCTATATTCTTACCCATAGGTAAGGTAGCAAACCAAACACTTGCCAGGTTAACCTCCAAACAACAAAAACGTCTAAGTATTCACAGCGCATGAGCTCAAACATAATATAATACCATAACTTATTTTCAACTTTACTGAGATAACCAACACTTTACTTGCACTGACTTCAATTAATGACCCACGTACAGCTCCAAGTACAGGCAAATTATTGCAAGAACTGACAAATGATGAAAGATACCTGATCTATTATGACTATCTAGTTTTCAGCAATGAGCATTAAAGCATGAGTTTAAGTGTCATCTCCTTGCAGCTGTACAAACTGGAATCAGACCACTATATCTCAAGCTCACAGTGGAATGTGATAGCCACGCTAGGCTGACTAATTGATTGATTGATTTGTGGGGTTTAACGTCCCAAAACCAATATATGATTATGAGAGACGCGTAGTGGAGGGCTCTGAAAATTTCGACCACCTGGGGTTCTTTAACGTGCACCCAAATCTGAGCACACGGGCCTCCAACATTTCCGCCTCCATCGGAAATGCAGCCGCCACAGCCGGGATTCGATCCCGCGACCTGCGGGTCAGCAGCCGAGTACCTTAGCCACTAGACCACCGCAGAGGGGCTAGGCTGACAAAAGAAAAGTATATTTGAAATACAAGTGTAGTTGATATGCACACAACTGGAAGCGCTGTGTGGCTTGCTGAAGCCCGAGATTCTAACACAAGTTGATGAAGCCCTGTGTGTATGTGGTAAATATAGATGCGTCCAGCACACACCGTGGTAGCTGAGCACATAAGGTGTCCAGCGCTGAGCTCGAGGACGTGGGTTCGACTCCTGGCCACGGTAACCCCCTTCCGATGGGGGTGAAACGTAAGAACATCAACATACTTAGATTCAGGTATACATTATGGGTACCTAGGAAGCCAAAATTTATTCAGAGCTTCCTCAGTATGAAGTTCCTTATGATAATGCTAAGGTTTTCGGAAGTAAGACTCCAGAAATGTGCAAAGTGTCCTAGTATTGCTTTGGGACCCCATATTGATGACATTACATTAGGCTCAACAACCAGCAGATGTGACGTTACATTAGAGTCAACAACCAGCAGATGTGTGGAAGTTACTTAGAAAGATAATAATTGCTGCGGTTTAACGTCCGAAAACCGGGACGCGATTACGAAGGATGCTGTAGTGGAGGGCTCCAGAAATTTCATCCACCTGGTGTTCTTTAGCAGGCACCTGGATCTAAGTGCATGGGCCTCAAGCAGCTTTGCCTATCAGCCGTCCCCTAAATCGATTACCCCGCCAGGATTCGATTCTCACGACCTTCGGGTCAGCAGCTGAGCAGCATAACCACTAGTCAGTATAACCACTAGTGGTTGTTTAAATGAACATGCAAATAAACTGCTAGGATATGATGTTCAACAAGTGTTAACGAGTGCGGCTTTTTAGAGTGCGCTATAAAAGCATGCATTCAGCGTGGCTAAGGCATGTGTTGCGTGGTGCACAAATGCAAAAGCAAGCGTGGAGGCTTCAGAGAAGAAGTGATGCCGTACGCAGACGTCAGTGACAAAACTCTTGGCCTTGAATCGTCTCGCATATGACCTTGGCTTTGACTAGAAAAACAAATGGTTTAAACTTTAAAAAGCTATATGAAAAGAAAAAAAAGAAAGAAGCCACATCCTTTGTCATCACTGTTGACAGAACAGAATGCACAGTGCTGTCAATTCAGTAGTCAGCTGATTCTTTTCACTGACAAGAGATACGCGTGCCCTAAAGATAAGCAAAAGAAAGCAGCTGCATATCTCTTTGTGCAGCTGTTCAGCACACTGGCGTTCAACTCGTGTGAGGGCAGAAAGTCATGAGCCAGGGGTGTACACAGCCACTCTTGTTTACACAGGGGAGGCAGTCACTTGAAGTAAAACTGGAGAGGGAGGAGGGGGGCAGTCCTGACTCTTGTTTCAAGTAGTTACTACTATCACATGAACCCCCTCACAGCATAAATACTGTTAGTTCAGGCTCACAATGGTCCTACAGATTTGTCGAAATCGGTGATAGAAGGTGAATGACATGCAATAAAGGGAGCCGGAATTCAATCCCGCGACCTGCGGGTCAGCAGCCGAGTACCTCAGCCACTAGACCACCGCGGCGGGGCAAAATATGATTTTAACAGTGAGCCAAAAATTGCTGGGGTTTTACATGCCAAAACCACAATATGATTTAACAGTGAGCCAAAACTGGCCGGAGCCAGTAGAAAGAATCCAGGAACCTCTCACACCTTGATTGAAGACTATTAGCGGCTTCTAGATGGAGCTTTCTTTTTTTCTTTTGAAATTAATTTATCTCCTAGTTTATATTTCATTCTTATTATATCCTTATAAGATAATTTTTAGATCCTTCATGATTCACCTCTGTGTCTTCTTTTTCTCTACAGCTTAAGTCCTGAAATTGGAGTTCTTTAGTTTAACGTGAAATCTACACTCAAAACCCCCGTTTACTTCGCATTAAAGGCTTATGGACCAAATGTGGGACAAGATTGTCTGTGACTGCTTTGAAACAACTTTTTCAAGCAGAATAAAAACATTATTCAAAGCAGCTGTCTACTGTTCTGCACTGAAACTTTGTAGACAAAAACATTATATTATAGTGTCCAGTTTTTAACATATTGTGACAACCGACTAAGACGTCAATAAAAAGGAAAATTAAATGCAGACATGAATTTTCATTTCATAAGTTCCTCCAGTAGTTCTGCATGGTATTTCATATTTACTAAGAATCAAAGACTGTGCATCCTAAAATATCTTTTTTTGCATATTTTTTGCTCATGGGGCACATGGATTAGTTAACTCCCTGCCAGTTGCCATGTTCAGTCCTAGCAAATTTATTCTGCCTCCATCGTCCACATCTACAGGTAATTGCAACATTAGCTCAGGTAAACTAATAACAGTGGCTGCAGAATTCCTCAGTACGTATTTTGGGGGCTGTAACATGTTCCGAGGCACAGAAAGCCATTACCCACCATGCAGAAACGTTTACGCACATGTGAAACAACAAAAACGAGCACCACTCAGAACAACGCAAACGATGGAATAAATACCAAGCACCAAAGCAAATATACAATCAAGATAAAGAGATAACCACTTTGCCGACCTCAAGCCACTTCCCATTCAACAGCATTTTACATTGTTTTTCTGTTCTGACTCATTATTCTAGCAGTATATTCCCAGCTTAACACTAGACCTAACTGAACGCACCTGAGATGACAGCACAATGAAAACAAATGTCAAAGGAGAGCAAGGGAACAGGTTTCCATTCATGAATGGAACAGGTTTCCATGCATGAATCATGCAACTGCAGTAGCGACATCATGCAGTTCTGTGTTGCCACCGGTTCTGTTCTGCACCAAATAGGCAGGTATCAGCCGTGCAAGCTGTGCTGTACTGCAAAAAATGAGAGCTTTTCAAACTCACACATTGAACAGCATAGGTTAATAGGCACTCAGACCAAGCGTTTTTACAGTTCATCCAGGTCAGGCCTCTTTTACTTGTTTGGTGAGGCCGTTATACACGGAGGGATAACAGCCAAAGTAGAAACTATGCATTTGCATGATGTCCAAGGCAGTGCTGTTAAAGCTGAAAGTGTTTTGTGCTGCATGTCAGTCACTCGACTTATGTTATTTATCAACTGCAAACAATACCTAAAGCATTTGAAAGTTCAAACATTAAGCTAAATAAAAGGTGACAAAAATAAAGTTTTATTTCAATTTCAACATTCAAATATTGAAAGACCACACTAGAGTTTTTCCAAACAGCGTTGCAACTTGATTTGCATTTCAGAACCACACTTTTCAGTTTTTCCATAACAGGATATTGGAACAGCTGTTAAATATGCACGCTGCTTAAACATCTCTGTCATAAGCCGATTTCTGAAAGGTAACAGTCACTTTTTGAGAAGGAAGGAGGTGTTAAAAAAATATTGTTGTAAAATATCATAAGGAGTATATATACACTGCAGAACGAAGGTCTTTTCAAGTGTACTCCCATTACCCTCGTCTTGCATTAGCTGACCCCACCTACGCCTGCCAATTTCTCAATCTCGTTCTTATGCGTAGATTTTTGTCATCTTTCACAGGGCTTCCCTTACCTTTGTTACTATTTGACGACCTTGACAGATCAGTTATCTGATGGTCGTGGCTCATCAGATAACTGATGGGCCATTTCTCATAGACATTTCACATAGCTTTAACTAGAATGTTAGTTTCTTCAGTTGCTTTTCTAATACACATTGCTTTCTTCCACTCTATTAGTATTACACATTAGCTATGCACCCCTGCCAGTGTTTTGCTTTGAATAGCCTTGCCAGTTTGGCAAAATGAGCTATGAAATGGCAACAAAAGTTGCAGATGTGTCTATTCCACATAATCTACTAACACTGACTACAGTCTATCATTTACAGACACCAAAGATTGAGTACCATGCACTTGATAAAAATTTGTCAAAAGAATTTCACTATACAGGAATACAGAAAAATGTGAAATCTGACGTCAAGAGCATGTTCATGGTCGCACCCTACACTGCACGCAGGAAGCAGTGAATGTGGATGACCGAAAATGTTCAGAATGCTCTGTGTCAAGCAAACCAAGTTACAAAAAAAGCTGTCATGCTCATAGCTCACACAAAAGACAGCAAGCCCATGCTGTAATCTGCAATGTTTACTAATGTGCTAAGGCTAGCTAGAATTAAGACTAGGTTAAGCACTAGACTTTTGTTCTTTCACATGAAGCAGGAAGAATCTACAAGAAACTCTCTTCAATATCTGAATTTATGACTAAAAAAAGTGTTACGCATAGAATGTGCAAGCAAAGGGCATGTAATTCGATATAACGTGAAATTTCACATTTTTGCACAAAAACGTGAAATGGTTGTGGAAAGTGTAACAGACCCAAACCTGTTAAGCATGAAGCTAGAGGAGAAGCATGTTTTTCCAACCAGTGCCAATAGTGCACCACTTATGGTCATAACCAAACATAGCATGTTCCCCACTGCAGTATCCGAGTGTGTGACATGCTATTTTAGATTTAGTTAAGTTTACGTAAAAGAATTGCAATAGTATTAAGGTAAGTGCCATCAAGTTGCTGTCAACTCCCAAGACACACATGAAAGCTGAATAGAGGTTTTTTAGGCTCAACCAAGAGTTTTTCTTATGGCCTGAATAATACCATCTTGTGCCATGCAGCTATGTTTTCTCTTGCCTTCTACTGGCAGTATGCACCACATTTACATCGCAAATAAACACAGCTTACAGCAAACAACTATGCTGGCAAACGTCACGGGGTAACATTTCTGCGGCCTCACTGCTCTTCATGGCTAACCAAGTAAGAGACAAATACAGAAAACTGGCAGTACACCCAGTTACACTGGAAAACGACGCACCTTTCCGCAGGCTCGGCAGTGGTGCCGGCGCTTGAGCACCGTGAAGCGCCCGAAGCACAGCATGCATGAGGGTGCCTCCTCGTCAGGGATCCAGAAGGGCTTCACTTTGCCCAGCATCTGCTCCTCCTCGCTTAGCGGCGGCAGGAAGCTACGCTCGCCTTCGTCCCCTTCTTCTTCCTGCAGCAATCGGTCGAGCTCCTCATCGGTGACGTCGGGGGCAGTGTCGAACCCAACGACGGTGTCTTCGTCCAGGGAGCGGGCCTCCGTTATCACGGTCGCCTCGTCCCCAAAGGGATACGCGGGGGCGCCCTCGGGTTGTGAGACGTCGTCGGGCACGTCCGTCGACGGGCCCGTCGAAGCAGACGACACCGGTGACGACGAGGCAGACGACACTCTGACCGGAGACGCAGGCAATGCACCGGGAGGAGCAGATGACGACCGTGGCGGGGAGTAGGAAAGCATCCCAGGATCGGGTGTGCGCACCTTTGGTGGGGAAGCAGGTGGAGTTGCAGGCAATGCGGATGAAGTTTCGGATGGTGATGTTGACGATGTGTCGGCATCTTTAATGGAGTCTCGTGCTGGGGAAGGTTGCGTGCAAACTTGCGGCTCAGTGAGGGGCAAGAGCGTTGGCATGGTCTGTAGATGGGACAAGCAACTCTGCATCGCAGCCAGGCACTTCATTTCCTCTTGAAGGCTGCAGGGAACTAGCATTATCAGTTTTGTGGTTCTCCTGCACACATAAATTACTACTGGGACCTTCAGACACAATTGCATGAACTGCTTGATCCTGAGCTTCTGGAGCAGGTTCCTGAGAAGTGTGCTGTGCGGGACATGTGGTACTTTCAGCTGTTTCACGCTTGGTGGCAATATCTCCAGCTGCATCTAATAAAGATTTAGGTCTTTCCAGAGAAGGGGAAACTGCCTGTAAATATGGCAGTTTGCTAGATCCCAAGTCAGTGTTTTCTTTTCTGGAACTACTAGAAACCTTGTCAGGGTCAACATCAGCAGGACAATGTTCACTGTCAAGCAATAAAGAAGCATCATATTTTGTTTCATTGCTCTTTGTTGAGCCATCATGTGGGAGCAGTTCCGTGCCATTCGCAGCAGGGGCCTTGGCATCGTCAGGAGACAAGCTAATAAGCTTCTGTAGTGGCTCAGTACTGGTGTCTGCTGCAGACTCTCTGATGGGGCTCGATGAAAGCAAATCAGGGTACTGAAAGCTGTCTCGGGGAATTGAATTCTTTGGAAGCACTTCACTGAAAGCACCGTCATCAGATACCCTATTTGCAACTGCTTCAGATGCAGCGGGCAACGTTCTTGGATCCGCATGTAACTGTCTAGCTGCAGAGTTTGTTGCCAATCTCACTTCATTGCCACAACCACTCACTGGACCATTGTACGGTGCACCGTTATCACTGTTTCTACAACCATCAGCTGAGGAAACAACAGGTAGGCCAAGGGCACTTGAAACACTGTTGCTGCTAGGAGCCACTAAAGGTGGCAGCTCTGCAGCAGAGTAGACAGGTGCCTCAAATGAGTCTCCTACGCAGCCAGTCCGATCGGGAACGTCGACTTGAGCAGGAACAGATGCATTTTGACCACTGCTACGCGCACCTGAAGAGTCTGCGCATTCTTCTAGATGACCGGCCGACACAGTCGAAGGGGCGGACGGCGCAGCACTTGTAGGCACATGCACAGAAGTGTCCCTGACACCTTTCTCAGAATACAGCGATGCCGAGGGCGCACTCAGTAAAGTCACTGGGCCGTCATCCCAAAAGGAAGCTTTGCTGTTAGTTGTGTCATTGCCATTTGGCTTCTTCGAGTCTGTTATTCCTTGGGCATTGGCCGACGGTAGCACCGGCGTAGGCATGCCACTGTGGTCCCCATTTTGATGCGGCACGTCTCCACGACACTTGGGTATCGCCTGGGCTGCTGCTGGTCTAGGCACTTCAAAAGCATGATGCTGCGTCTCTGGAAGCCTCTCCGACAACAAGCCTGAAGAATGAGACAACAGTGATTTATTATTCTCCACTGAGATTTCATGAAGTGATTGATGAAGCCGATAATTTCAACACCCTAACTATGGTAAAAATATTATACTCATTCAGAAGGTAGTAATGAACTGCTGTCTGTCTTAAAGGCATCACTTCTTTCATTGCGCCCATCTTTTGTTAGCGGTCAAGCAATCAACATCAACTAATCCAGATTCAATTTCTTTTGAAACATATTTTGTCACTTATAAGCTAGGTTGGGCACAGAACTGCATAAATTTCCTGCTAAAATTGGAAGTACTTGCAACTTAGAAGGCATAGCAGTGGGCTGTGTATATGCTCCAGTAATTCTTCCACATGTATTCAAGTAGATGGTCTACACTGAAATTTATCCAGTCGACAGCTGTTCTCGTGACTATAAGATGACCGATGTAGTGTGTTAAGAGTGAATGCAGGCTTCCTATGTTTGTTTTCTGGAAGCTGCTGTTGGCCACATATTACAAAAATTGGGGGACTCTTATGCTTCACCTTTAAGAGTTGTACTTCAAAAAGCTAGTGTGTGAAATCTTTTCGAACTTGCTATGCACCCAGTATGTGGCCTTGAAGGGAAAGTCAAATAACAATTTACGTCAGAGTGAAAGCTCAATGTATGACAACATCTAAAATGACAATATTTTCAACAACAGTGCCCTACTTACCGAAGAAATTAAGGTACATGCACAAGAACACAAGCGCCGCAGTAGGACATTTTCGAAATGATCCAGATAACATCAGACTGGACCGCCTACAATTAATCACTAGCATTCGAGCTAACTGCACTAAATAAAGAACCTTCCATGCATCAAGAGACGCAATAAAATGCTACTTGTGTTTTTCTGTTTGATTCATGGAAAAAAAAAAACCACCAGACGTTACCATGGGGAATGGCGCGAGTGGTTCAAAAATCTAATTTGCGTAGTTACACGGGACAGGTGATGCCATCTAGTGGAGCGCAGTTGAAACAAAAGCATCTGCAATCTCAAAGACGATGGCGGGAAATTGATCAATGGCTGTTCTTGCTGCTGTGGCTCCCGCTGCTTTCGGTCTGCTGCTACTAGCGCAACAAAAAGCCGGGCAACGTTGTGCATGGCAACAGTGACATGAGTCGGTCCGGTCAGTCCGTTTTTTGAGGCGGGTAATTTGAATTGCGCTAACCCGATTCTGAGCACTAAAACGCCATTTTATTTCAAAATAGGCCCTTTCCTGGCACAAAAGTAACACTACGGGGTTTCTGCAACGCCATTTCAACAATCAACTTAAACTTAATAGTTGACTTCAGTGTCCCTTTAAAGGTGTAGTAACGTGTGCGCCTTTTGTAGTGAGTGACTGGCTTTAAACTATGAAGTCGTTACAATAATCCCATGTTCTGATGCCCGATGGCAATTTACGCTTGTACCACGAATTAGTACGGCAATAATTCATGTTGTATTGCAAAGCATGTATACAGGATGCGCATGTTCGTAAAGCATGAAAGTTACTTTCACTACATTTCCAAGCAGAGGAAGTTATTTTGACTGTACTCACAAGCGGACGCATGGCTGTGTGGTAAAACACCCGCTTGCAATGCAAATGACCTGGGCTCGATCCCCACTCAGACCCAGAATTATTTTTAAAAAATTTATTCACACTTTTTCTCCACTTTTCGGTCACACAAAGATGCTTGATTTTTCAATCACATAAAGATAATGATTTTTCACTCACAACCATCAATGCCAACACTGACGCCGGAATTTATGCGGAACGAGCTCTTTAACGATAATTGCAGTAAAACATCGTGCAGCTTTCTCATTTCACTGATGGGCCCGCACGAAAAAATGTAGGAGCTTCAGAACAGTTACTGGGTGAATCGATGTTCTTCCATCTTGAACGAATAAACAGCGTGAAAGAAAATGTGAACAAGCAAAGGAATGACAGACAACAGCACAGACTCGCAGGTAAATTTAAAAAAAAAAGTGGAATCAGAATAAATTGCATCTGTAAAAGCATGAAAAGAAAGTTTTCATAATTTTCCAGGGGCTATTTCATCAAGTTTTGATAAGACCAAATCTTGCATCACCACAGAGATCAAAACACACAAGAAATCACGAAGGCATTTTACATGTTCTTGGAAGGTCACATGTGCATCAGTCAGTCTTCATCATTACCAGAGACAGGAGCATAATACCTTGGGGATAACTTGTGTTATGTTGTCTAATCAGCCACTTAGAGTTATTTTGCTACTTTTTGTCACCTTGTGTATGCGTGATGGTTGTTTTGTTTTCATGTTTTTTTCAGATGCTACTCATTCCGCGTCTCTAAATAAAATTTTAGTTTCTAGTCACCATTGTCTGCCATTTCTCTGCTCGTCCACGTTTTCTTTTGCATTGTTTATTCATTGAAGATATGAGAGCTGTAGTTTATTAGCAATTCAGAACATAAACAGCATCACAACAGTGCTCAAATAGACCCAGCATTAGAGGTTCCCAGAGAATATGGTTGCTGTAATCTAGAATAAATTTTACTTTACACCAGAATGTTATTGCCACAGCAATTCAAAGCTTATTCTTTGAAGTACACTGACTTGTGAAAAGTAAACTTAAGAGTTTATAAATATAAAAAGTTGGTTCCAATCAATTTTATAGAATATAGAATTAGTGCAAATATAGCTTTGTCAAAAACTGTACACGAATGTTAAATAATTTTGCTATGCTGACCAATTGTTTCAGCATTATCATACAAATCAACACCAGATGTTTATATTACTTGTAGCAATTGAAACACAGTTGAAAGCACATTGTGTTTTCAGTAACATTTACTTTTAGATCTGGCAAAGAAATGCTTCGCAAAGGAAGTTCCTAAGACTACAGAAAATGCCCAATGACATTAGACAGGCACCATCCAAATAACGTTCACAAGCTCTTAAACGTAGAAGAAAAAAAAATAATCATCACCTTATTGCTCTTCTCAAATGCCTTATTGCAAACGTGAATAAGAAGATAAAAACCCCAAACCTTCCATCAAGACTACACGAGGTGTTTACGATAGCGTCAGCCAAAGCTTTAAAAAAAGCTCAAGTTAAGATAGCAGCTGCTGTTGCTATTTGCATAAAACAAACTGTCACATCCAGTATCTTGTTTAGGTGGATATCTAGTTAATATTAAATAACCATCTCTGCAAGTGCAAAGGTCGCTTAGACAAGACTTCTCACCAAAATTTTGTAATGAGTCCTAAGAAAAGTATATCTAATTTAGAATTCTACAGACGGGCATTTTTCACATTCTACAGAAATCAAGCAACAGCGCCACTTGCATGCCATGATTGAAGTGCTCTCAAACATGCTGCGTATGATCAAAGACGATACATAGCAGAGTCAGTGCCCTGCTTTGTTTGTTTATGACTATCACGAACAACCTTGGAGGGGAGGAAGCACATCATAAACATAAATCATGCCGCAAACACTTGAGACGTTTTCCTGCAACTACCTGCACAACATTTGCTGTCCTAGCTGGGAGCTGGAAAACCTTTGTTTTGAACTCTTGAGTGGCTGCAAGACACTCAAGTGGCTGCCAGACTACTGCTAGACATACTCTTACGGCAAGTACACATGGAGTTCTTAACCTACCAGAATACTAATAAAAGTTACAGTACAAATGAGAAGGGGGTAAGTCTATAAAAGCTTTTTCTACAGGGCTGCTGCCAGCACTAGTAAATGACGTCTCTGAAAATGTTAAACAGGATGCATGGACCAATTGTTTTTTGTAGCTCACTGAAGATTTCCCCTGAAACGCTACAAGTCGTGCAGAAACTAATGTGGTGTCGTGGCATTTATAACATATTTTAGAAAATTGACTTTAGAAGCATAAAACTTGTGAAATTGATGTGTGCCAATACGATAGGCGTACAGTATCAGGTCTAAGTGGCTACACAGTCCTTGGCGCTCACTACGTCTACAGTCAATGTTTTGTTATGGTGACAGCATGCACAGCATTTACAATGTCGAAATACCGGGCGCGTAGCGTAAAAGCAAAAAAAAGGGCGCACGGGCCAGATGATGTTTATTGTCAAGGCAGAAGAAAAAGAGTTAGCAGAAAAAGTCGTGTGTCAACCCAACACGTGACAAACACGCCAAAGGTCCCTGTCGCAGAACTTCGTGTAACTCCTTCACTTGTAATTTATCATTCTTTATGAATCACCTAGGCCGAGGCGTAGGATAGACAAGCATCCTTAAGCATTCAACCTTGGTCCAGTACTGGATGATAAGATTTAGAGCTCCGAGGTTTGTCAGGTGGCCCGACGCCAGTCGGAGACAGTTGGCGAGATAACGTCTGTTGGCCAAAGGATTAGAGGACGCGGTGATTTTACAGTGGCTTTCGATTTCGCAACATGCAGAACCAAAAACCTCTGGAACGTTCTTCGCAACGCCAAACAGAACCTTGCCCCAGCTTGAGCGCAAGTGACGCCTCTGCCCGCTATCAACAAACCCGTGAACGTCACGGCACGTCTCATAACGCCCACCTTCGCGTTGCTCGAGCTCGTCGAGCACTTTGTCTAGATCCACTGCAAACTTGTCCATCGCTGCCTGGCATCCATGCCACGCTTCCGGATCACTGCAAAAGAAATTAAATAAAGAAGTTGTATGGAGAGCGAACGGGAAACGAGCTCACAGTCTTGTAGAGGGAGGGAGAGAGAACGGGAAAAAATAATGTATCGAGATGGAACTGCTTCGACGAGCAGCTTACCTCTACTGAAACCGGCGATTGTATCATAATTCAATCGGCGACGCACGTCGAATCACTCTGCGAGGCGGTGCACCGTGAAGCCTGCCCGCACGTCGACAAGGTGTACAGGCGGAATACCAACACGGCAACAGCGACGACGTAGTGAAAAGCACTACTTGCGGCCGACACAACACACACACGTCTCCAACCAACGTTCGAGAGAGGTCCGTGGGCGAAGGAAAAACACCGAGAAGACGATTGCACAGAGCGTTTGGGGAACGCTCTAGGCGTCTGAGCCGGGACAGGTCGAATATCGGCCGGTCGAGGCACAAGGTGGAAGAAATTTTCTATCGCGAACCGCGGCCGAGCACCTAACACAACAACACTGCACGCAAACTCCACCACAGCCAAGATACCACAAACCACAGGAGCCGAAAAATATGTCTGCTCAGTTGACTCAGTGTATCCACACGAACAGCAAGAAAAGAAATAGCGTTCAGTGCTATCCGCTGCAAACTACGTAACGCTGCCATCGCCAACGCAAAACTACATAAACGGCAGCATTGCTAGTGACATCACGTTGATGTTGTTGGCGATCTGCTGACTTTGCACTGATAGTATCTCGCGTTTCTGTCTAAAATTGTATTGCTGACTGACTATGTCTTTCGTGCACTATGGCGCATCGTCATATATAAGGTAAAAACAGCAGCTGTAAAGGCCACAAGTGTTGCCATAGTTGGCGCGCTATGGATTGCAGTGTGGGGACGGTGCAGCGTGAAAAGTACTGTAAATTGAGTGAAGTTGGGAACTGCAGTGTGCCTTCCGCTGGATCAACGTGTTGTTGTTTTCGTCAATGCATTGAAGCCAGCCATGCCTCTTAGCAATAACCTTGTGTTCACCGTAGCAGTTCACTTCGTGTGCCTCTGTGCAGGTGAGTTGAAAAGTCCCGAAAGACACCACGCCTTGAGAGAAGTGATAACGGGATGTTTGTTCAGATCACGGATGTTTGATTCGAGACAAGTTTTCCCCGTACGCGATCGCAACTGCGTGCCATTCTGCGCGCGATCGCACGCTTGTCCCGGCTTTCAGTTCCGTTTTGGCAGTTATAATAAAGGACTGGCAAAAGTGGAGCATTACGTTGCGTGAGGCAAGTTCAGCGTTGCATACGCAGGTAGCGGTCTGATGGGAAGAAAATTTCACGATTGTTTCGGTTTCGCATAGTTAAGCGGACGCGCTTGAACACCCGTCAAACCGCCACGAGGTGCGCCGCATTCGGGTGACCTCTTACGCTACCTTCCGTCTCGTGGAAAACGGTTCGATTCATATATAATGCATCCTTTCAGGGACATCTGCTTTCGGGACACGCCTATGGTTGTTAGCGTACTCCGCCGGGAATACCCGCGCCCTGCGCGGACTTCCCGCACGCCGGATGCACAAAAATGTTGTTTCTCTCTCTCTCCGCCGGTTCAACCGGGAACACTGTTGACAGAAGCAGATTCGAAGTGTCCGTTAAACGCCTGGCCTGTTAGAAAACATGTCATTCAAAAAATAACAAATAAATGCGGAAGGACGGGTACGGCGAGGCATGAAAAAGTCAACACGGCGCAGCAATCCGCTGGCGCGTTGTAGCTGCTTGGAAAAGAGGTCGATATTTCGGCACGTACTGGAATAAAGAAATTAACGTCGAGGCTAAACGCAACTTATCCTTTGAATGAAGCAAATCGCAAATTCTGATCACTGTTATGTGCTAATGGTCCCATGCGCGTACAACGAAAAAAAAAAAAAAACATTTTTAAAATAAAAAACGACAAAAATTAGACCGATGCATATCGTGATTTTGTGTAACACTGTGTTTATAATTTTATTTTAAAAATGTAACTTTCTCATCTTAATGTTATTCTGAATCCTTTGTGTGCACCATATGTAAGAGGTGCTGAGCGGGGTGTGGTATACCTGCATTTGAGATCAAAGAGGAAATAGAAAAGAAAGCCTTTCTTAGCTACTTTTCGTGCGACAGTGCTTAGTGTGGGGTAACACGCTATTATAAACAAAGGTTTACCTTAGAAACCACGATCGTACATCTTCACAGGTGGTTTTGAATTACGAGTTTCTCAAAAGTAAATAATTTGAAGCTTCTGTTAAAAACCTTCTGCAACTAAGCATGAATTTTTTTAAATTGCAAATTGAAGTCAATCAGCGTATCACATTAAAAAAAAAAAAAAGCCCTGTTTTGTTGACTCGTGGCTTTTAGAAAAAGAAAAACCCTGTTCATAAGGTAACTGATTCAAAATGTGAACGTAAGCTAATTATTTTGCAAGAGCACAAAAACAAATGTTAAAATGTCCAAGTGTAACAGATGTACTGATGTCGGTAGTTAGATGCATTGACTCTTAAGGGTACACAGACAAGGGTTGGTATATTTCTAGCAACTCTGAATTTTGTCTGTTATTTTCACACGCTCTGTAAAGAAACAGCTGCAGGCAGTCACTTTAGTGGGGTGCAGCTCTGTGCTAACAAGCAAACAAGATCCATTATGAAAAGCTATTGTGCATTTACTTGTCGGCCTCTGTTGAGTACGACACTCCTGCAGTGACCAGCTGGAGGGCTTGCATTTTTTTGTGAGCTACTAATAGTCCCCTCAATAAAAGTGAAGAAAAAAAAATTAAAATCTCCATGCGAATTTAAAAGGTCTTATATTACCATTGGTGAGGAGAAAGGCAACACCCAGTCTAGTAGGACAGAGCGTTGTGCAGCGTGGTTTAAGACCAGTGAGTCTTATCACAATCTTATCAGGAGTCCAGGATGGGTTTTATCAGCCCCAAGTCAGTCACAGCATTCTAAGACAAACAAGGGTCAATCACTGAAAGATTAACATTCTCAACGAACTACACTGATTTCTCTAAGTGGTTAGCGTAGAATGTGTAAATCAAGATGTGGATAAGACACATGCACAAGTAATCATTCTTTTCTTGTCTAATGCATTCTTTCATCTCTATCTTCTTGCCCTAAACGATGCAAGAAGTATGTCGTTACAACAAGACTGAAAATCGACGCTTGCAAAGTTTAGAATAGCATAGAGCTGCGCTATGTGGTAGGTATTCATGTAAAAAACAAAAAAACTGGGTAGTCAAACATGGACATAAGGTCGAAGTCAAGACAACAGAAATGGTGACTAACAACTGAAAGGTGCCTAAAGCTTATCTGCAAATGCCCAAGTGCACATAAGACGCTCTCTTTAATTTGTTAGCGTTTCTGTAGTCTTTGACTATGCTCTTGTGTCTGTTTGTATGCCCTGCCTTTTTACATGCTTGCATACATGCTCTTGAAGGTCACACATTGGGCTGACTCAGCACGAAAAATAGTGAAGCTTGCCATCTGTCCACATTGTAAGGCTTCCCCATAGTTTATTGCCTTTCTCAGAGACTCTTTGTTTCATAAGCATTACAGAATGTGCCATTAGTCATGTTCAATGAATGCAAAGGCTACATGTTGTTACCTGCATGTGTACTGTGGCTCCCCCGAGCCAGAACTCTGCAAGGACTGTACTGCTTTTCAATGATCCTTGCGTCAGCGTGAACAGCTCAAATAAGTGAAAGGAACTAACTCATTTTCCATAGTAGCTACATATCTAATTTGAGGATTTAGCCACATTGACAGAGTAATTCTACGATTGAGTCAAGCGGTTATTTAGTCTGATGGGGTAATGTTGAAACAGTTATAGAATAGACAGATAGCTCTTTCGCATACTGGACAACAAAAAGAATGACAGCCTGTGTCAACCACCTACTTTTGTTATGGCCTTGCACACCAACGCTCTGCATAAAAAAATCTTTCTATCGCAGTATTCTGAAATCTACAGAGAGTGTCCAGCACAAATTGAATATTATGCATTAGAATACAGTATAAAAATTTATAATGCATTTAAATTTCTAACATTACTTATTTACTGACAACTACTATTGTATTCGGCTGCTATTTGAAAAACTGTTATCCAGATTGCAACATATCACATGTTTATATATGTTTTTTCCTTGACTGATCACACTGCACGCAATGACGTTTCTGTTGCCAGTTTTATAATGCAGTATGCATAGTTGTGATTGTTTTTAAAGCGCATACCTGCTAGCTGTCCAAACTAGACGAGCAATCGTATGATCAACCATGGTTGCATGAAGGATGTTGCTGGGAGCTCCACCGGTGCTCCTCTCCAGTTTCCCGGTAGCAGGCCGAGCTATTTTAATGCTGCATGTTGACATGACCACGTAGCTCATCTTCTTCTGTTTATTGTTTCTACTGGCTAACCATAGTTATGAAACACAATGAAAAACATGCCAACATGTGTAGAAACCTTGTCCAATTTTGTATTCTATTCTACAGTGGAAGAGTGTTGTCCAACCAGCTTGTGTGTACGATGCAAGTACTGGTCACATAAAAAAAAAAAAAAATATGTGTGCACTAGTGATTACTCTGCTGTAAACAGCCAACACACTTCAACAATACATCACCTTTTAATCGCTGATGCCTGTGCTCACTACTATATTAGTGATTTTCCATGGCTTCTTTTTATGGGTGCCAGCTTACTCAATAGTTTAGTGATTACTCAGGTGTAAACAGCCAACACACTTAAACGATACATCACCTTTTAATCGCTGATGCCTGTGCTCACTACTATATTAGTGATTTTCCATGGCTTCTTTTTATGGGTGCCAGCTTACTCAATAGTTGTATTTGTGACTATTGCGGCTATTTGTGACTCACTTAAGGTATACAATGCAAAACGAAATGTCTGTAAAAGCAAACACAAAGGACAAGCACTGACTTCGAACTGAACTTTATTGACCTAAATGCGTCAGATAAGTATCTGTGGGAGCAGTTACAAAAAGGTACAGGAAAACATACACTAGCACGAAAGTACCAAAACCAGTAATTAACAATCACAGTGGCCTGCTGCGTAAACTCCCGCACTTCAAGAAACAGAGCCCCCTGTCAGAGAGCACATAATTAGGGAGGCTACTCGGATGGTGCGAGGAAGAACAGATCCATGAGCAAACCGTCGGCTGTGCTATCCGGCAGAAGCCCTCTTTTCTGCAATGCAGGGGTGTGCACAGCACGTCACTTCGACTGTTAATGCTGTTTTAGCTGCTTTTATGTCGGTGTGCTTTATTCTTGTTTAATGTCAATAAAAATCAGTTGGAAATTGGCACTTGTCCTGTTGGTTTGCTTTTCATAGCCGTGCCTTTCTTTTTGTGCTGTTTATCTTCAGTATCAATAACCAACTGGCCCAGATATGACTTACTGTGACTACTGTAGCTATTGCGTCGTTTTTCACCACCATTTCAATGTGACAATAATCATCCTGTTTCAGTTGGCATACCCGTCCTCATCCTTTTCTTGGCTGGCAAGCCATTCAAGCGTGGATTTTTCTGCGATGATGAATCGTTGAGGTACCCGTACCGTGATTCCACGGTCACTTCTCCCATGCTCTATGCCTATGGCATTCTCATACCTATCACTGTGGTGAGTGCTCTGAATTCCTTGTTTGCTATGTAAAATATACAAATTTCCTTGGCTAGATTCGAACAGAAGAGACTTGGACGGGGAATTCTGGCGCATGTCATATCTTGCCATGCTCCAACAAGCAGTCTTCTGCCCATTTATTTTGCAAACAGCAGAAATATTTTTATTAGAGACTTCTTTTGACAGAATGGTGCATACACATCATTAGTTTCTACCATGTTGGGAAGGAATACTTGATGTGTGCCCCATTTTCTCATAATTATAGCCCACAGACCAGGAATAGGTTCATTCGTATTAAGATGTGCAACTCTGCAAGCAATCTGGGAACTCGTTCAGGTGGGGGAGGAGCAGTGTTCAGACTGGGGTGTTATCCTTTCTATGATATTTTACATTGAGGTTGCAATTGTATGCATGTGTTGAAGAGCTTGTCAACTTTTCGCGCCATCTACATTATTGCTCGCATCCTCCTTTCTATGCCATTTCAAAGATGGTTGTGCTTGAGGGAACACGAGCCAGGATGCGTGTGCACGAGACAGTCATCACAAGCAAGAAGCTTCTGCTCCGCTGGCCAGTGCCCCCGGCATTGCAGGTATGAAGCAGTGTCTTCAAAGAATGAGAATGTCCAGAGAAATTTAGATGCAGCATTTAATTTATACTCTCATGAAATAGAGTGTTAATTGAAAGCACACTTCATTTTTTCTTTTTCGATGATAAATAAGCACATCATGGTTATAAATCGCAGTTTTATTTGTTCTTTGCACTTGGCTGCATTACTTCCTAGCCAAAAAGACCATGTTGAAGTCGGTCATTTCCTTACCAGGGGCTGGCTTGCCTCAAAACCAAGAACTGTAAACACCCTTCCAACCACCCTGCAGTCTGTTAGGTTCATTGTTGCTATGTTATCCTTTTGTTGAGCTTTGCAGTCGCTTGTTAATTGTATTGTTAGGCAGGCGTTGCCTCCCTACACAAGCACTGACGAAACTCTGATGCACTGGACAACTGCCGCACAAATACCAATTAAATAAGGTTGATAACTGGGTTAGTTGGTAATTGTTTATTTTACCGCAAAGTTAAGTAGCACAGTTTTTAACATGGACAACAAGGATAAGAAGGACACGACACTCGCTACACTCGCAAATAAATTTTTGAGAGAAGCTTCATATATATGCACCCACCTTTTTTTTTTTTTTTAAGTGTATGAGCCACACATGCTTTGCTTTATCGCTTGAGTTTGTGCATATTGTGCTTTGCAAGCAAAAACGCATGTATTGTTAAGCTCATCTCTATATTTGCTGTGATTATTTTATCGTTAAGTGCTCAAAAAGTTCATATTGGATAAGTTTTCAGTGCCAGTTTTTTTATTTTATTTATTTATTTACAAAATACTACAGACCCATGCAGGAGGGGCAGGGTACAACATAAATACATCTAGAAAGCACAAATGAATATCATAAACAAGTCAGGTAACGATAAAAAACAACCGTCTAAATAAAATATATTTAGGAAATAGTGAAGAAGTAATTCTGTATTGATTCAGTCGAGACCAGATGATCAATAGGTATTAGGTTCCATTCTTCTATGGTGCGGGGAAAAAAAGAATATTTAAAGAGTTTAGATCTGGCAACATAAGGGGAGAGTGTGAGGCGATGGGAATGACTGGTTTTCCTAGTCTCAGAAAGGGTTATGTAAGGACTGGGATCTATAAAAAATTTACGATTTAACAAAGAATGGAGGAACTTCAGTCGGGATATTTTGCGCCTCATTTGAAGTGTGTGAAAACCGTTAGAACGTATAAGATCCGTTACAGAATCCTCACGGCTGTATTTAGAAAAAATGAATCGCATGGCTTTTCTCTGTATTCTTTCAAGACAATTAATATTGGTTTTGGTGAAAGGATCCCAAATAATAGAGGAGTATTCTAACTTGGGTCTGATAAAAGTTGTATAGGCTAAAGTTTTCACGTCATGGGGTGCATGTTTAAGCTTGTGTCGAAGTATACATAATTTTGTGAAAGCTGAAGAGGCGGTGTTAGAAATATGGGTGCTCCAGTTGAGGTTGTTAGTAATGGTAACTCCAAGATATTTGTACTCCTTAACTTCAATTAATGTGTCTTGGCCAATGGAGTATGAAAACATCAGGGGTACTGTTATTTTAGTTATACGCAGGAGCACAGACTTAGAAGAATTTAGCTTCATGCCCCATTTATTGCTCCACTTAAAAATACTGTTTAAGGCTGCACTAAGCAAGAATTGGTCTTCAACACTATTGATTTCGTTAAAAATAACGCAGTCGTCTGCGAAAAGACGAATATTTACTGGGGCTTGTATGACATCTGTTATGTCGTTGCAATAAATAAGGAATAATAGTGGGCCAAGTACACTTCCCTGAGGGACCCCTGAGGTTACCGAGAAAGAGTCAGATTGTTGTCCGTCAATGATAACACACTGTTTCCGATGCATTAAATAAGCAGATAACCATGATAGGACGAAGCCAGGAAAACCAAGGAACTGTAATTTGCAGATTAATTTGTCATGAGGGACTACATCAAAAGCCTTTTGAAAATGTAGAAAGATAACATTCATTTGTCCACCTCTGTCAAGAACAGAAGCGAAAGAATGTATGACCGTACTTAATTGAGTGATTGTCGAAAGACCCTTCCTAAAGCCATGTTCAAAAGGAGTTAGAATGTCATGCTCATTTAAGAAGTTGTTAATGTAATTCGAAACGATATGCTCAATCATTTTACATGAAGATGATAAAATAGAAATCGGACGGTAATTTAAGACTGAAGATGAATCGCCCTTTTTTAAAATTGGTACAATGCGTGCAATTTTCCAGTCGGGTGGAAGTATCACGAATTCTAGAGAGACCTGAAATATTGCAACGAGAAATTTGCTTAGTGGTTCAGCGTAACGCCAAAGGAAGGAGTTGGGAATGCCATCAGGACCGACGGAAGATTTCATCTTCAATCATAGAAGCATGTTAAGCACACCTTGTTGAGAAATATTGATATCTGAAAAGGAGGACCGTGAAGTTTGAAAAGAAGGGTGAGTAGGCGGGGAGAAGACACTGTGAAAGTGGGCATTTAAAAGGTTAGCAATGCTTTTGGGGTCAGTTATTGCAGTACCGTCGTGGGTAATGCTTGTTATCAATTTCTTTTGCTCCTTAATAAAGTTCCAAAACTTCTGTGGATCTTCCCTTGTAAAGTTAGGTAAAGTGTTGCTGAAATAAAACTTCTTTGTTTCTGTAATAGATTCCGACAGAGCTGTACGAACAGTGGATAAATTAACGGCAGCAGCTCCTTTTTTTTTGTAATCGTTTGGCTTTACGTTTTAACTGAATGATACGCCTGTTCATCCAAGGTGTGTGTTTAGTTGGTTTTACACGTTTGTTCGGTATGAACTGATCTATGCAGACTTGGTCCAAAGCTCAAGGACGTCACTTGTGCGAAATTTACAAAAACAAGATTCAAGATATTCTATTACACTGATATCGTCAGCCCGTGCAAAATCTTTCACAAACAAAGGTGCATGCGTGTCAGGTGTATGTTTAACATTCAACGAAAAGTATACAGACACAATATCATGGTCAGATAGGCCAGGCTCGACAGATACATGGTAATTAGAAAAAGAGTGATCAAGAAAGACGAGATCAAGGAGCGAGTCTGTCATTTCTCATCTGTGTCGCTGGGTGTCAGCATGGGTGCATATATATGAAGCTTTTTTCTTAAATAACTTCAGTTGCGAGTGTACAGAGTGTTGTGTCCTTCTTATTCCTCTTGTCCATGTTAAAAACTGCGCTACTTGGCCTTACAGTAAAATGACAAATCAAATAAACTTTTTTGCACTTGAAACTGAAAGTTGATAGACGAGTTATTGCATGAAGTTTATTAATGGTAATATCTGACTACTCAACAGATATCTCAACCCTGCATATCATGTATGTTACTGCGTCTAAAGTGTACAAAGTCGATATATTTTGCAGCTTATGTGTGATTGTTACAACTTTTGCAACAGTTCTACAATTCAATTGCATCCCTGAAACCTACATTGTACATTACTTTCTTCTGCTTTAGACATGTTCATTGATTATTCATTATATAGGAATTATACTGAAAATTCACTTAATGGAGTCCCTAGGCTATCAAATTACTTCCCACTTATTAAATGCCAAAGTTTAATAAAAAAAGTTGTCTACTTCATTTAGATCGGTCAAAGCACTGTCACTCATGTAGCAGCGTATGACTCTCACACATTATACGAACATTACAATTCCATTTAATTGTAAATCGAAATTGCTACAATGCTTTATTGTGCATGACCAAAAGTGCTTAGGTTCGATTCTAGCTATCTTAGTTTGTTCGTATGTGTTGAGTTATTCACGGAGCAGCCTCTTTGCGCATGATGTTAAATGAACAGCACCTAGCCACATAAAAGCTGTGTCTTGTTCTGCTGTTTCTAAATTTTTTTTGTATACACTTCAATGTTCTTCACAACGAATGCACACCTAAAAAATACTTCCATTTAAAATCATCGGCCATTTAACATTTATTTTCAAATGCTTAAGGCACGCCACACCGTCGTCTGTCAAGTACCGCAACATTTGTGCTTCAAAGAGTGCACCTGCGCAATAAAGATTGTCACGATAATTCCTGGAACAGTGTGTCAGCGCGGAGTCACAGCTCTCCAACATAGTGTCCCCATTTATATTGCATAATTCGAGGGTGCCATTAAGAGGTCAGAAAATGGGCTGCTTCTGTCATGCACCTAAAGCAGTTCGCTGGGCTATAGAATACTGAACTATTGATGCAGTGACGTCCAACCTAAAGTCTCTAGATTTTTCTTTAGGAAAAATCTAGGGGCTTTAGTTCGACCGAACACTGTAAGAACAATTCTACTTAAACTTCGTTTAGGATTATCTTTAGTGCGCGTTAACGTTTCGCACGGATGGTGCAGTATATGACGCTCTAATTTCATAGACCTTTCTTTCGTAGACATAGACTGCAGGTACTGGCAGATATGCAGTTGCGAGAAAACTATGCAATCTTTCGCAGCGCGTCACTTAGCATGTTGAGAGATCGTCTTTTATAACAATTAGACCAAAAGAGTAGCAATTGATTGTCCCAGGACAATTGGCTGGTGGTGAGAAGGCTGCAGCACATATCTGATAAGATAGTCCGGTGCAGCGCTTCACTATAGCTACGCCCACTGCTGCCTCACACATTGTACACGCACGCTATAAAAGGGTCTTGGCAAAATCCTTATCAGTAATCCTACATATCGCTGGCTTCCGTTCCCTTCATCGATTTGTGCTTCATGATTATATTTAATAATTGCGAGTAGCTGTCATCAATTGTAGTCGAACCTCCACTTCGATAGAAAAAAAAGAGCCTTGACCCATACTTGATCTTGATAGAGATTGAGATCACAGTTTGCCCATGGGTGTCAGGTGTTCTAGTTGATACTTATCACTCTGTCAATTATAGGCAATTATGAACAGAAGATATGCTGATATCGTGGATGGGCATATGTGCGGTATATAGAACGCATAGTGAGACAGGAAATCATTTCGCTCGTCCGTCCCGAAACG